AGTAACTCTTTACATGCACCAACCCTTGAATGCATTTTGAATGGAATTTCAACTACAACTATGGTATCTTGTATGAAAAATGCATTTTATATTTTCGTTTTAAAAATATTCGGCAGGCGAGTGTGAATTATATTTTATTTTCAAAAATAAGAGTTATTCTTGAGTTTCATATTTACGAGTAAAAGGCAAAAATAACAGATATTTGTGCGTTTTAAAATAAACAAAAAGCAGAATGTAAGAGTTACTTTTGATGAATATAATATAAAGCCAATTTAATTATTATTTTATGAGTTTTATTTTAAAACGCGTATATATAAAAAGTATGCATAATATTAAGCATGAAAGGTGTTAGAACGAGTTTAGACATTTTTTTGTTGCTGCTTTTTTCCTAAAAAATTTTTGAAATAACTGTTATTTTCGGTCCCTGTAACAGTACTGCTTCTAAGGCGCATGTTATGATTGCAACATAAATTATCATTTATAACGCCAAATGATAAATTGACACTGAGAGATCACTTTATTTTAAATTGAACCACCATTTGGTAGGTACCTTGTCGTGGTGCGGGGGCTTAGGGCTGCAGTGAATCGTCGGGCTTCATTAACGGCATTAACGGGGGGTAACTAAAACCTGCCGGTGTGCGTCTGTTTTTCCCAAAGGGACGGCACATAACGACGATTGTTTTCTCCATGTTAGGGGCGGTCGAGTCCGAGTCTTTTTATGCGTAGGGTGGCAGACTTTTAAAGAAACCTTACAGTGAGGAGGTGTTTTTCTATGACTAATGTCAGAAAAAAATTCTAAAGTTACGGTGCAGGGAATCGGATCCCCAGTACCGGCGGTAGGTGTCGAGCGAGAGGGGCATCTGGCGTCGAGATCCTATGACCTGTCAAATCTCAAAATTTCAATTTCAAATCAAACTTCTATAGGTAACACTGAACAGGGCACGGCCTCCAAGCCAACTTTGGGTAGGCAGGAAGCCTTGGCTGGAGAGGGTGAGGGAGATCAAATCGGATCTCAATTTCCGACGATGACTCGTTATCACAGGTTAGCAACGTTGATGACATCAGTCAAGAGGTTGAGAAACTTTTACTTGATCCTCCTCATCTAAGGCTTCAATGCCGGGGATGGAGCCACGGAAAGTAGTGACAAAGGAGCAGAAGGTCAGAAATGGCTACAAGCGATCGGTCTACCATCTAAGAAAAATGAGAGCGAGGGACTCCTCCTCCTTCACGGAGAGGGAGAAGGATCTAATAAGGAAGCATGAAAAAGCTGTAGCAAAGTTCGAGAGGGACAACGCTACAGCTTATTCATCAATGGAACGAGGGCAATCCAAAATGGAAGCAAAGTCAGTCAAGGATATCGCTTCAACTGCAGATAAAGCCGATCCAGCGAGCGTAGTCAAGAATAGCAGCTTTAAGCGCTGCCACTAAAGACCAAACCCACAGGATCCTCTTCTAAGATACCCTACTCTTCGCCACAAAAAGGGCACGGTCCGAGGAAGAGACACAGAAGTCAAAAAAGCCTAAATCCTCGGTCTCTTTTGAATCCCCAATGGAACTGCAAGTAGCCATCATAGACAAAGTCCACCCTGATGGGAAGATGTCGCCTAAGAATTGGCTACTTGTCGAGGCGCGTCCGATGACAGCAATGACGGAGGCTGATAGTGAGGAATTAGTTTTTGATGGAGCTGGATGGCAGAAAGGTGTTAAGGTTGTTGGTTGCGGCAACAAGAAGTCCTTGGATTTCCTAACGCGCACAACCGGCAGTTTTGGCACCCTCTGGCAGGGAGCTCAACTCGAAGTAGTTTCTCGCTCTCAGCTTCCTGTACGCCCGATTGTTTTCCTGTGGGTCCCACCTTCAGTTCCGGACAAGGACGTCATGTTGACGGCAGAACCAGGCGTTAGAAACATCTAGATGGCAGATAGTGAATATGGCTGTCTGTAAAAGCGGAACAGGTAGTGACTTACTGATCGCTGTGAATCAACAGTCGCTATTAATATTAAAAAAAGAAGGAACTATCAAATTCGGGCTAGGTTCTCTAATGGTTCGGGTGCCAGGCAACAGGCATCAAACCAGCGAAGGAAAGGCATGAGGTAGTGCAAATTAATGTGCACCACTCGATCCTAGCCTCGCTCGACCAGATTAAGTACCTCTCGGAACGTGATGTGGACGTGGCAATTGTTCAAGAACCATGGCTTGTCAATAGCTAGAATGGCTATCATCTCTACACTCCACATACACAAGGTAAGATTAGAACCTGTATAGTTGCAAAAAGAAATCTTGACATTTTCCCTTAACTTCTTACAGTAATGGAGATCTCCCACCGGTAGTTTGTGAACAAAGGCACAGGCCCAGCCTGTTGCTAACGTCCGCATACTTTTCGTATGACGAAGAAGATCCACCATCAGCAGCCTTTCGAGCACTAACTGCCTATGCAGAATCACGAGGACTGTTTCTGGTAGCTGGGTGTGATGCAAATGGACACCACGAGTTCGGTGGTAGCAGAGATACTAACACTACGTGTTGATAAATGGGTAAATGTGTGCAGTGCAAAAAATCCCAAAAAATCTGGTTTTGGTTTAGCATCAATTTAGCCTAACTCGCATACGTCCTAAATACTCATTGGTTAAACAAATTACAGCTAGAACCTCATTTTTATGAACTCAATGTAAATTGATTGTAAAGAAGACAAATGAAAAATGCCTAGATGTAAAAAAGAAATAAAGTTAAAATTTATACAGTACTGCTAAAACAAAGCCCTCGGAGCTCTATAGTGAATTCTCCCTGGGGCAAAAGAAACAGGACTATGACTTCAATGTAGCAGCTATTTTCACTAAAATTTTATTTAGATGCGCACAACATTTAACATATGCGTGGCGCTTTGCATTTTTGTGCGCAGTAGTGTTTTTTTGATCCCTGATTTAACCATTTTCAAAATTTATATAGTGTCTTCGCCTAACTTAAAACTTATAAATTCTGCTTCAACATTCAACAATTTGAAATTTTCGACTCGCCGAACTTACACAAACTTCTGATTTAGAAGAATCTTAATGACTTAAATAGTTGTGCTGTAAGAAATCAGCGGACGTACCTATTCTACCTTATGGTAGGAAAAAAAGTGTGAAGAAATTGAACTTTAGTTTTTTGACGCTAGCATAGAAAATATAACCAAAACATGATTATTTGTCTTATAAGACAGACAATGCAACATAAAAACACAAACAACACAATGTCAATCCAAATATGAAACGAATTGAACATAAAAAAATGCTTAATATTTGTAATAGCTGGTATAATCGGTCTGTTCCACGAGCTACTCGTAGTTATTTTGAGTAACACTGTGTATACACGAGTGCGTTCCACCAGCATATTTTCAAGTAAATAAGAGTTTCTGAGACAGCGTAACATCCCTGTCGAAATTTGAAAATGCTATACAGACTTTACTCGTACATTTTATTTCAAGTAAAATTTGTGTTAATGCGTAAATCAGTTGTTAAATTTCTGAATTTTGTTTGAATTTAAATTTTTGTATTTTTTATTTGCGCAGCACTGGTATTCTTACCAGACTTTACGCAAAGCTGTTGTATGAATATTTGTGTAAAGAGCGTAATTTGGCACTTTATTTTTGTTACGTTCTCAGTTTGTACTCTACTTGTGTTTTACTTGAGTTTTACTACGAGTAGCTCGTGAAACAGAATTAATATTTTTCCCATATGTTATAAGGTGTTAGCTGTTTGCTTACGACTCAACTTATTTAACTAATATAATTTTTAAGTTAAATTAAGTAAAATATACTAAATTTCCCGTGATATGAAAACAATAAGTGCCCACTCAGTATAAAATGCCTTGCAATTCATTTAGAATTTTAAAACAGTTTTCATATCACTAGGTATTTAAGGTTACGGTTATATTACATGCGAATTTTTTCTTGCGTATTCGTACGAACAAATCAAATGTATGTAATTATATGTGAGTGGTTACAGTTGCTGAGAATTATTCAAGCGACGTCTTGTGTATCTCATGCGAATATTCGATTATACAAAATATTTTGTTTGAAATTGAAAGGTGTGTGGTTCACATAATTTTAAGTTCATAAATGGAAATAAATTTGAAAACAAATACTACTTTTAGAAAATGATTGTGATTTGCTAATTTTTTTGTTTGAGGAAAAGACAAACTCTCCATTTTTATACCTTGAAGAATAAAAATCACGCATCCAAATTCATCCTTTGTTATTTGATATTAATAAATGACTTAATAGCGAATTTTCCGTTAAATATATTTCATCTTGACTATACATTTTGTTTTCAACATAAACGAAACAGAACTGTCAATTCGCAAGCAATGTAACCGCAACAGGCGATGTATTCGCATGAGAAAACATATGTACGAACACGCAAGACAAAATTCGCATGCAATGTATCCGCAGGTTAACAAGAAAATATTACAAAGCTATTCCAGCTGCAGACCCAATTCGGTATAACAAAGAATTTTATCAGTTGGCCTTAATTTACCTACCCAAAATATCAAATTGAATTCAGCAAATTTATTAGTTCATCATATTTAATATTAAATGTTCTTCGTACGTGAATTGGTAAGGTGCCAATGTGTTGCCACATGGAAACAGCTTTAAAGTTTGTTGCTATGTTTGCAACTTACAAAATGTTGTGATGCATAAAATGCAACTCTAGCATAACGGAACTTTATCCTTAAAATAGTTTTCAAACCGAAGTTCGTTCATATTGAGAAGACGCGTTTGTTCACGAAGCGGTAATGGAGGAACAACGCAAATTAATGCAGGCATTGCTTGCAAATGAACACGTAATAATGAATTCTGACTTCGAAACTAGACTAAATTTTGCTGTAAAACTTAATGAAGTTTTATCAGAATATTTTGAAACTTTAAACGATATGTGTTTGAAACTCCTGATGCGTGTACGTTCATGTATGGGTGAAGATTCCGAAGAACAAGAAGCGGAAAAATTAAAATCGTTGAAGAAAATTGCTAAATGTGTGAAAGGTTCAGAGATTGATGACTACAGAGAAGGAAATAAATTTTTTAGAGATCTAAATGGTCGCGCAGCTCCAAATAACGAAGATTACATTAAACGTAAAAGCGAAGGTGAAATCTTCCCAATGGATTTCAGTTTGGTTAAAAACTGTTATTGGATTGAAACAGATAAAAAATTGCTTCTGATGGGTATAAAAGAGCAAGTACGTATCTTGTCTAGCAACATTAAAATATACTTAAATCTTGTATTTTAGATAGTAAATACATTACTGGAGCGAAAAATTATTGATATACATTGGGATGGTAAGATGGATTACTTGCATTCCTCTAATTTAAAAGATATGTTAAAAAAAGTGGACGGAAGAATAGAAATTGACTGGTTTCAAATTTCTGCTGGGGATCTCAGGAGCAGACATAATGAAACATCATGCGAGGCAATGTGGAATGTTTTTCTGCATCCGTCACTTAAACGTTCAAAATGGACTAATGAGGAGAACAACCGACTTATAACAGCTGCAAAAAAATATAAATTTCAAAATTGGGAAGCTATTGGTAAAGAAGTAGGCGGTCGTTCTGACTATCAGTGTTACATACAGTACAGGACAAAAGCCTGCTACAACTTACCAAATCGTTTTAAAAAGTGGGATAAAAATGACGATATCAAATTAATTGAGTTAGTTCATAAAAACACAACAAATAATGTTACTGATTGGACAACAGTAACTACTTATTTTAGATTTAAGCCTAAAGGTGATATTATAGCGCGTTACAATACTAGGTTAAAGCCAGGCATAAATTTTAGTAAGTACAAAACCTTTTAAAAAATATATATATAACACCTATATACAATAAATATATTTTTAGAGCCATTTTCACCAGAAGAAGATATCCTTCTTATTGGTCTTGTTAAAAAGTATGGAGAAAAATTTAGTATAATACCTCGTGATATGTTTCCCGATCGTACTATTCTACAACTACGTAATCGTTACTTAAATACCCTGAAGCATCGTCATAGAAATACAACGTGGACTTACGAAGATGATGATAAATTAACAAAGTTTGTTACTGAACATGGTACATCAAGTTGGTTAAAGTGTGCTGAATTGCTAGGCAACCATACTCGAACGAGTTGCCGCACCCGCTTTATCACTATTAAAAGAATGTTTAAAAAAAATCCTAATTTAAAACTTACAGATGTTCCACGTCATAAAATTCTGAAAAGTGACAATTTAGTAAGGCCAGATCATTATGAAACTCAACTTGATTTGTTAGAAAGTGATGAAATTGGCAAATTAGCATACCATCCTCTGATTAGTATTAAAAAAGAATTAAGATTATTGGAATTAGAAATGAATGCGTCTTTCAAATTCGGCTATGACTATAGCACTTTTAATAGTTATTTCACAAAGTGGCCTGCGTGTATTCCAGCAAAAAACATAATGGCAAATGCATTGAAGATTCATACTCCAATGCAAGTAGACAATTTATTGTTAACGAATTTACCTTTCCATTTTCAGAAAACAGTAGAAAAGATGATGAAAGCTGTAGCGGAACAAAGTCTAAATAATTTGCCCCCAAATTATTCAACATTAATTGCTTATCGAACGTTGTGTTCCTTTAGAAAGCTATTCACTCCAAATTTACTAAAGGTGAAAAACAGTTACAATAATGTGGATTTAACACTGTTCAAACAGCGATTCAGATCAACATTTTTTCTTCCTGGTATCATGTGTTGCTCAAATCCATCTAAACTTAATATTGGACCACTTGAATACAAACCTGAAAATAATGATCCGGAAGAAATTTATCATTGTGGAAGATATTATAAAATACAAAAAGTTACGGACCAAGGTTCCAGCCATGATACAGAAAAGGATTCTATAAATCCACCATCAAAGTAACACATTTTTATTTATTAATCCAGATTTGTGTTTGTATTCATATATAATTATTGTACTTGCACATTCGATATGAATTCACACCTTCAATCAACATTTAAAAAAAATATAAAATTTGAATTTATATTACTTTTTATATCTGATTGTAATTATTCAAAATAAATAAAAAAATAACAAAAATCTTTATTTACTAATTATTATGTACTTTACGTATATGTATATATAGTGGCGTGAATGCGAGAGATGATTCTTTGCTCCAAGAAATTATATTTTTACCTAGACAGTATAATTATAACAGTATTAATACGTATATATGTACGTGGTTATACATGAATTATTATTGTATATTGTAGAGAATATTACTGAGTTTGTGCCACCAGTCTCTTGCATAAAGCAATTTCTAAGCTTCCTAATTCATGTCTTCCTAGTTGGATTCTGTTAATTTCTTTATTTCAGTGAAGATAGATGCTACATTGAAACCATGGTCCTGGGAGAATTCAACATAGAGTTTTGAGGGCTTTATTTTAGCAGTACTGTATTAATTGTAACTTTATTTATTTTTTACCTCTAAGCATTTTTCATTTGTCGTCCTTATAATCAATTTACATACTTAACAGTATTTAATGTGATATTTAGTTGCCAAATATATTATGATATGAATATATATATGAACATGAAAAAGTTTTAGTAGTGAAATTCAAGTATTTTCAAATTTGATGGGTCTGTTCCACGAGCTACTCGTAGTGACTTTGAGTAACACTGTGTATATAGTACACAAGTGTGTTCCACCAGCAAATTTTTGTGTATTTTCGTGTAAATTTTACTTGTGTTTTACTTGAGTTTTAATACGAGTAGCTCCTGAAACAGACCTATTATACAAGTCAATTTTACTGCCTTGAGGAACACTTCTTTTAATAGGCTAGAGTTAAAAAGAAATATTTCCGTGTTTGATTCGGATGAATTAATCAAACATCTTCGATTGTAAAGTATTACAAATGTCTAATGAGATACTTCTTTTTATATAGACCTTATTCAAAAATGTAAAATAAATGAATAGGTAACTTGCCTAACCCTGTACATACATACATATATTTACTTGAACATAATTGATTTTTGACTCTACTTAAATTGATTATTCATTTAAAAATTTGTTAAATACTTTATTGTTTTGTTTTTCGAAATGCGATACTATGTAAATAGTATTAAAACGATCCAAATAAATAATATAAAAGAACAAATAAAATAAAAGGTATTTAACAAAAATTATTGTAAGAAGTCGATTTATGGGTCACACCATGATATTTTGTTTAACATTTTAATTAAAATTAATATTCTTATTTCATATAATTAAATAAAATAGTCATTACAATTGTACAAATCACTAATTTTGGTTAGCAAAATATCTCATTACTTAACCTAATTGGCAACAGTTTAGATTAATTAAAACAATCGCCAGTTAATCGCCCGTTCAATTAGTATAGAAAGATTATCGCGTTTGCAAATAAATTGAGATAATGTAAGTTTACTTTAAGTTACTGGGCACCTTTGCAACAGAGGCAACTCTGTTAAAAAAATGGATGTTTTAATTTTTAATTTTAATTTTTATAACTTTATTATGATATTTTTAATGCCATTTATATGCCAACACTGAAGGTTTTTTTAAACCTAAAAATTTGTCAAGATATTGCAAAATTTACCAGCATATTAAAAAAAATTGTAAAAATTTAAATTTTATATACAAAATATTAGTCTAATACTATTTATAAATGCTTAGAAAAACTAGAAATGAAACAAAAATATCCACCCTAATATTAATAAATTTATTTTAAATAATTATATGTAATATGTAATTAAATTTAGTTAATAAATTTAGTTAATATTTTGAATAATCAAGTTATATTAAGTTTATAATTTTATTTATTATGATTTAGTTATAAAATTTAGTTAATAATTCTATTTTATTTGATATAATAAAATAATAATAAAAACTTTATATGTAAAATATATAATCAAATTTCAGAATGGTTACAGGCTCCTCGGGGAGGCATGCAGATCTGAGGTCAATTATTCTTTAGTCTGATGAAGTGATAAACAATAATCTAGTCAAGGAGCAAAGAGGGGTTTTGAAGAAACCTCGCAGTTAATAGAGAGTAAAAGTGTTCAGGTGCACTGACTCAACTAGCCTCAACATAATAATAATTAATTATTGTGTAATATGGTGTTTATTAATATTCCTCATGAAACCTTCTCATGCTACTATAGGGCATAGCACTGTCTTCACAGCCAATCATATTAATACAATATACACTAACAACAATTGTGGTTTTCCTCTTCCGGTGTTTTCGCTGCATATAATAGGCAAACTTCATATATTTGAATGAAGCCAGTATTAAATTTCAGCAAAAATAAATTTTAAAATAATTTGGAAGAACTTGTGCATTTCATGCACCCGAAGTCGGTCATATATTTAAAAAAAAAAATAAGCGTAACACAAAGTCTATACATCACATTAAAAATATTGTCTCACCTACCCATGCACACAAAGATATTTAGTAAGTGTGCCATAACAAACAAGAGTAGAAAAAGTGTAGCAAGAAGCTTACGCATGAACTAAAAGCTACGTATGCATTTGCTCTTATATTGGAGTTTTTTTCACAAAATGTTCGCTATTGTTTTAATTGCTGACTCCACTAACATAATATTAGCGATCATACATGAAATAATAAATTTGATCATTTTTAGAGGCAAATTACATGTTTTTATTTTTCAATATTTTTACCCCAACACTATAAACATGATTGGATTTCTATAGCCACCACTATATATTCAACAACGACAACGATAGTATTTAAGTGCATTTTTAGGCTGTGTGTGAGTTCGAGTAAATTGAGGTAAAGTAAATTGAAACTTCCTAGAGATTTTTTGCTCTGCACTTGTGTACATATTTATTTGTTTATTTATTACACTTATTTCAAATTTATTTATTTATATATTGAATATCTTATAAAATTTTCACAATGGTAACACCTAATTTACCCTACTTGAAATTCTGGTAAATACCAACATTCGCTACCAAACCGACAAAATTTACTATTTCCCTCAATTTACATTTATTTATTTATAAATTTTTTACAGTGTATCTATCGAAATGTCAAAATAGAGTATGTTGTTCGGTCATCTGATGGCATTGAACTGTCATTATTATCGCTTTACTTAGTCATTCGCGAATTTTTTCATACTATTGCAAACAATATTTATATCAGTTCATACTGCAGTTATTTATTAAATTACAGTAAAATATAAAATGAAATTTTCAACAATAATTAAGTAGTAACTTACTTCGTCCATTAAAATTAAACTGCTTTTATGCTTAAAATTAAATAATACATGATAGTTAATTTATCGCCGCAGATTTTTCACTATATATTTATAAAAAACATATTGAAAAATTGTACTTACATATATTTATTTGGTGCTAAATGGTTAGTTTAATACCAATATTTTATTAAATATTATGTCAGCTTTTAATTTCATGGATGGAGTCCCTGTTAAAATATCAGAGAAGTACAAACCTCCTCCACGTATATATCAAGTGCCCCAAGCAATAGTGAATAAGTTAACAATATCCGAGTCACATTACAGTGAATTGCCTTCGTATACATATGATTTTCATTTGGAAAGAAAAGTACTGACTAAAATCCCGGAATGGCGTCGCATGCGTAAACATGCAGAAGAAGCTCGCGCTGAACGTAGACAGCAACGTGAACAACAAAAATTGCAAGACTTGGAGGCCCAACAAAAGCAACTATTAGGCGCTGTTAGTTATCCAAGTACAGAAGAATTGTCGTCTTCAAATAGCGAAGATGAGGATAAAGTGGTGTCATCACCTTCTGAAAAAGAACTTACTCGAAACGATGAAATACAGACATCCTCTCCCTACGTCTATAGTTTTAATGACATATTACAGCCAACAATATTGCCACGAAATGATAGGAAAATAAAAAACAACTGTGATGTAGATATAAATATAATAACTCAAGTTGGAAATGTAGTTAATGCCAAAACATTGTCAAACCAAAATTCTTTCAATTATAAAGATTTTGAGGACGATACCTCGTCCCCCTTTGATAACATTGAGCTGAAAACGATCAATGATTTGGACATTTTGGCACAGGTTCTACATAATACGCAGCTTAGTAAAAATTTGGCAGAAAATGATGAGGAAAATAATAAAACCAAAGAGGGAACACAAAGCATTGCGACAACGACGACAAATGATTTAAGTCAGGTGCTTGAATATTCCGATGTTACTAATAACGTTTTAGATCCAGATAAATTAAAAATCATAGAGCATACAAATGCAGCATTAAAACAAGTTGATTTTAGTAGCTTAAGCCAACAATTTAAGCATGAAAACATTCCAAATGCTACCGCACTAGTATTTCAAAATCAGCTAAATGATACAGATACTTTCATAACTCGAAACAAAGTAAATCCTCTTATTAACAATACTCCTATGCAAACACAGCAGACAAATTATTTTCCTTTTAATGCAATACACAATGATGTTGAACATATATCACAGCAACAACAACAGCAGCAGCAGCAGCAGTATTTAAATTATAATCTACAGTGCAATAATTTATCGTTTTATGGGGGTAGTTGCAATGGCGGCAGTATTGGCTATTTTAGTCCTACACATATTACTCATCTTGTCGGCAATAACACCAACAACTATTTGCATCCAGATGTTAACAAGATATTAAGTAATATGCAATATATTCCTTCAACAGTCCAATCTGCGGAAAATGTTGATAATGCTAAATCAAAAAGCGTACCAAATATTATAAAGGAATTAAGCGACGAAGTACGATTCTCTGAAATGCGCAGATCCAGAAATCACAGTTACAATTTAGAAGACAGCAAGGAACAAAATATACTACACGAGCAAGAAAAAGAAGGTATGAGGAACAAATAATTTGTTAATAAACTTAATTGTTATCAAACAAATAATTGGATCCGCTCTTATATCGAATTATTATTTCGGTTTGTAGTCGCAATAGTAGCTCTATTATTTGGTTTCAAGTGTTGATGTCATAGAGAAATTTACAATCTGCCATATATGACTCAATTTGATCACAATAAATCTGATAAGACTGAGTATAAAATTTTTGTTGTATATGTGCCCAGGAAAAAGTTTAGATTTATGCAATTTGCTTATATTATCTTACATTAAAATATTATTGTATAAATTTTTCCATGTGTTGATTTTATACTTCATCAATACATTTCCTAAATCTGTTAGGATGACATTTAATGATAAAATTTGGATTTTAAAATATTGTGAAAGAAAAGCGGGTTACTAAACTTGATTGTTTAAGATGCGTTAAGCTAAAACTTGAAACTGGTTGTTATGGCAGGTTGTGGATTTATTTACATTAACTATTTCATTGATGCAACCATTTTCTTTATCTGTTTTCAAAATAAAAATAAATTTTAATTTTTGAATAAAGTACTCGTGTTGCTGTAAAGCTACGCTTTCTTTGTATGGTGACAAAGAAGCTTTATTAAAATTTAGAGGGATTTTGAATAGCAGAGAAAGAAATAAAGGACAAACACAAAAATTTATTTTAATTTTATTGAAGTTTGGCTGACCATACAACGCTGTTTCGAGTATTGCCAAGTACTCATCATCAGTGGTCTTTGGAATAATCGAATAGCTTTGAAAAAATAAAGAATAGGCGAACCCAAAAGTTAACTTTCAATTCGTTGAACTTGTGTTTCCAAAATAAAGCTGTAGTTTATAAGCTCGTTTTAATTTAAAGCACGGCAAGTGCTTTGGTTGGTGTCACTAATTAAATAAAAATAAGGGACATAAAACCTAGAACTTGAGTATTGAAAGTTTGTGCAGCCTTGGCTTCTTGTGGATAAACACGATTAGTTATCGCTTCTAATTTGACAGGCACATGTTCTAAGTCTGCCACTTGCAGTCCAAACAAACTATACGGACTATAAATTAATTAAATAAAAATTCGATTATTCCAAAGACCACTGATGAAGAGTACTTGGCAATACTCGAAACAGCGTTGTATGGTCAGCCAAACTTCAATAAAATTAAAATAAATTTTTGTGTTTGTCCTTTATTTCTTTCTTTGCTATTCAAAATCCCTCTAAATTTTAATTTTATTGTTCAATTATTCAGTATTATACTTCTGATGGTATTTCTAGTCAATAAAACCGTCGTCTATATTAAAATTTTATAAAATTTGCAAACAATATATTCCGTGTATCAAATTAATTGTATTCTGTCTCTAACGCCTCTAAATTTGGTTGCTACTATGGTCATGTGTTTTTTTAAAGAATCTACGCAGCATTAAATCTTAAAATAATTGTTTATATAATATATTATAAATGTTATATTTAAAAAAATTATTTTTTTTCACAGAAGAAGAAAATCAAAAAAAAAGCAACGAAAGTCATTGTTACACTCAACTAGAAGTTTCTGCTCAGAAACTAGCGAAAAGCATAAGCTCAATGGGTTTTCCCTTAGAGCGTGTAGCTAAAATAGCAAAAATATTTGGGACTGATGATAAGAAGGTAATTCTTGAATATTCATTTAAAAGTAAACGTATAATTTCTGAAATAATTATAGATTATTGAGCATTTAATACCACTAAGTGAATTGATGGATCTTGGCTTTGATGAAGCAGCAATCTCAGAAGCACTCATGAAATGCGATAATAATAAAGAGAAAGCATTAGAATATTTAATATCATAGTTATATATTTGGTTGGCGAAATTCTTTTTACTCTTTGTTTGTAGCTTAAGTATATTAAATATGTTTTTGAAATGTAAAGTATGCAAACTACCAATGAATTTATAAGAAATTATAAAGCAAATGGGATATATTCCTATAATAATGTATTAATTTATTCCACTTACATTAATTTAATAAAAGCTTTGTATTTTGTATACATTTCACCTATTTAAACTATAATTAAAGACATAAGTGAATATAGATATTTATATAGATGTAAACATGGATTTTTTTAACTGATAAGAATGGCATTCTATGCTATTTCGCTTCTACTCAGAATTTCTGTTTAATTTCTAATATAAGTTCCTTGGTGTGCAGATAGTTGACAAACTGTTACAAAGTAATGCTTTAATACAAACGTTTAGTATTTTAAATATAATAAGGTAGTTTCTATTTTATTTTATTGTACCGCATTTAAATTAATTTTTCTTCCAAAAAAAATACAAATTCATAGATTTCAAGTTTGTCCTTACAATTAATTTAGGATTTTTGTACTGTATAAACAACACTTTTCGAATTATTAAATCACTTTATATTAACTTAAAGACCACATATTTAGATAGCTTAATTTACATTCTTTAAAATTTTTATATATAATTCACAAGTACATAAAATATAACTTAAGTCATTGTAGCCATTAATATATTTATAGCGTTCTCAATATCTCCATTAGTAATGTTTAGATACATTATATTGTCATCATAACTAACGAATCCCATTTGAGCCATAATGCGTAATTCATTAGCATATTGATGATCTCTGTATCCAGCAGGTATGTCATCATCATTGTCAGTATTATCGGCAATTGACATGGATACATCACCACTTTGGGAAGCACTTTCAGAAGGAGCACCTTCTGGAGTTTCGATATTGGAGCTTTCAGTTGATGCAGGATTTAAAAGATAGGAATCAACATTTCGCTCGGATTGCTGTCCCAAATTCCTTTCGGCAATGTTAGACAAAGAATTAACCGAATTGGAACCAGGACCAGCATTACCAAAGTTAATTTGGGCAAGCGCTGCTTGGAGTTGCCGTCGACTGATTGCGCGCGATTCATTTCTACTACTATTTTCTCCACTGCTATTTGGACCCGTAAAGTTTTCTTCCTCCGACGAATTTGTTGAATCAGAATTAAATGACTCTACAGCTGAAAGGAAAAAAATTTTGTTATTCGTATAAGGTGATATATGAAACAAACTTAAATTAGTTATCCGATAACTATATATTTGCGCATATAACACATAATTGGGTAACTAATTTTTTGTTTCTCTCAATCAACATACTCTGTGATGAATTTTCTTTCGTTATTTCCTTTTTAACAGTACTAACAATGAATCGAGCCGCTTCAACAATTATTGGATAAGTTTTCGCCACTTTTTCTATTACCTCTCGTTTATTAAGTGTGCTAAACAGCACAGAATCTCTAATGAAAGCTTGGGCTCCTAAATTGTGTCGAAATTCTGGATACTTGGATATAACAGCCTGTAATATATTTACACGGGAGACAACATTAATTTGAGTGCGCGCGATTTGATCAAACCAGCCAACTGTATTGTTTATAGTTTCTGTGGTTATTTCTGCTTCGGCAGATTTTGACACAATTTCATCAGGTTTACGTTGTTTTCTTATACAGAAGACCATCGCATCCGGTTTTAAAACATCTTCTAATTTAACATGATCTTCAAGCAACGAACCATTGTATATAAGATCTATAAATACCACGCAATTTATAAACAAAGAAATTATAAATAAAATTAAAAGACGAAAAAGCAATGAACCTGTCCCCCTTATTCTACTTACCTAAGTTTTTAGCATCGTCACTTATTTTTTCGGCTAACGTTTGTTTTAAATAAGTCACATTTTTTTCGAAATCAATATCTTTCACCGGCATCAAGCTCTCTGGCTTATTTTCAATATATACACCAGCAAATATATTTTTAAATCCCATTATTCAAACTTTATACGAAAATATTTAAACAAAAACTACTTCCAGTTCGTGTCTCAACAAAACAAAATTCGACTACACTCTAAAGAAAAATGATATGCATTTTGTAGTAATGTCAAATTAAGTTCACAGTACAGTACTTATAAAAGTTTATAAAATAATTAAAAAATTTCAAATAGAAACTAATGTTAGTTTCCATTATTAATTAGTTAATTGATCATTAAAATCTTATTTTTAATATTATTATTGCAATTTAATTAGGTTATTTTATTTAAATACACATTAAATAAAATACTTGATTAAAACTAAGATTATGAGTTGTTCATTTATATTGGTGACGTTGTTGTAAATAATAAAATATTAATCGATATTGTCAAATACATATAATTAAATATGCAATTCGCTTTCAGATATTTTTATAAATTACAATAGAAAGTATTTTTTGTATTATGTATTTATCATTTTAGCTGTGAGACTATTTCTTTTTGAAACACAATAAATTAAATTGCATTAAGTGAGTTTCCAATCTTTTGCCAGTAAAAACTTTCAAAGATAAAATACTTTGAAAAGAAATTATATGCTTTCAAATACAACAAAAATTACAGCTACACAAATTAACAAATGACTGAAAAACAAAAAAATAAGGGGAACGTTCGTTAATTTAAAACAAATTTGTTAATAAATTTATTATTTATTATTCTATGAAATTCGGTAAATTATTAAGAAAGACCTTATATATAATTTTAAATTAGTGCAGTTATTTTAAATTTTAAATTTATTTTTTACCTGAAATAAATCTAACGCAAACGCAAAATTAGTAAGAATATATGCAAATTATACGTACAGAAATGAATTTATTATCTTTATCATATTGACCATATTAATTGAAATAATTAATGGAGCCTCTGTACAACACGCCTTTTGATTAATGATCAAGGAGAGCATAAAATTGACCATTCCTCATATGACTATGTGTAAAATATAGTGCTTACGCAAAGATTAAATTGTATACAAATTATGACATATGACACTAACTTTACTGTCATTAATTGAAAATATGTTGTCCGTTCAAATTAATGTGCGAAAAGACCGCAAAAATAGCGACGAACAGAATTTCCTCATAGCTTTATTTAAACTCATTTTAACTCACATAAAATGTAGAGATACAATTTAAGTCTAAAAAGCGAAAAATAATTTTAATGTGCGGAATTACTCCGGTGTGTTCAGGCACAGTAAGTAACAATTATACTAAGCTAAGTTGAAAATTGTATCATAAAACATAAATTTACATTACGACTATTTGCTCACACACTCTTAATTTTTCACTACGCATACAAATTTTTGTTAGCAGATGAAATTTGAAAATAATACGTGGTCCCTTAAAAACGTAAATATACTGTCAAATTCTAGTCAGAATAGACATCGACATGGATTGTCAGCTTATAATAATATGTTCTGCCGTAATATTTGATGTTTGACATTTAAGCAACCCTGTCTTTATGAAAATGTTCAATATTTTCAAATTATTATTATTACAGAAGTCATATGTTATTTGCAACAAAACTTTATTAGAGTTAAATTATGAGCAAAATTTTAAGTTGTGATTTCGAAGTGTTTGGTATTGTGCAAGGTAAGTTAATTAGTAAATTTATATAATACATACTGTATTTTATATATATAATACAATTTTCAAGGTGTCTCCTTTCGCATGGTAAGTGTTTATCTATATTTGAAATGCACAATTCCCGTTTATCTTTATATGTGAAATCCACAAGTATACGGAGCGACAAGCTAAGAGCTTGGGGATACGCGGATGGATAATGAATACGTCTTATGACACGGTTAAGGGTCAAATTGAGGGCACGGAAGCAGTGTTTGCCGAAATGTAAGTAATGATTTATAAAGCAGTTATAAATAATTATATAAAATTATTTTATATCATTTAAAAATTGCGAAAGGAAAACTTGGCTTGAGACGACTGGTAGTCCAACAAGTCGTATTGATAGAGCAGAATTTAGTGTAGTTAAGGAAACAAACGCCTACAACTTCGATAATTTCACAATCAGACACTAAAATTAAAATATAGAACACAATTAGAACACCACAGTTTACTGTTCACACTATTACCAAAGAATGTATGTATTATATTTATAATTTATAATATAATTAATTAATAAAATCTTTCTCAATTAGAAAATAACAACTGCTTATTTTAATATGGAATGAAAAATATTTCCTCCTTACGATTTAAAAGTTTGAAAGACTTAAATAGTCTATAGTTTTATTACACAGCCAATAATACTCTAAAGTTACTACATTGTTTCCATTTGATATCGTACTTATGCAAGTCTTGTCGAGAAATATTCAATATGACTTAAAAATATGTATATACAAAACATATATACATACATATATCAAATCTCATTTTACTGCACTGTATTGAAATTATCACTATACTTACCATTTTTTAATTGACTATACGGGTTGAGTAATTAGACGAGATACTAATTATTATAAAAGCTTATTTGTTTTATTTAAACAATTTTGTAAACGTTTTGGTACCGCTTAGAGCAACCATCTTATAATATGTAGCAAAAGTGGGAAGTTGGTAATCATAGTAAAAATTCCAAGGATGTTAAACAAACGGGATTTGTACAAAAATATGTTTGAAAGAAATAACTTGTAAAATTGTCGTTCCCATTTTTTTTTTGTTTGAGATTATTTATAATAAATCTCCTTAAAAGTTTCAACTACGTCTTCAAATTGTCATTGTCATGTCATATTTACAAAAAATTAATTTATTGAAACCTATGATTTCATAGGACATAATCATCATTATGTATCTGTTTAAACGAATGCAACCAACTACTGTCCAAGCAATAACTGCTTGTGTGCAGTATTAGCGGTCGATTAGAAATGATGACTAACAATCCTCCACACAGATGTAATATTTTCATTAAGACCAGTTGTTTGCATACCAACAAAGCTCTGAAAAGGTCACCGCCTAATATTTCAAGGGAAGAGGGACGCATTTTTTGCGCAGCAAGCACTGTTCTAACTCGATTGATGTATACCCATGTGCTAAACATCTAATTATCATGTATTAATACATAAATTCCGAAACATACGCTCCAACTGCAACTCTCCTTCCCATGACGTCGTCCATTTGTTCTTTGTCCTAACGCACCCATCAATTTGAGCCCTATGAATTTTTAGCTTCGACTCACTGAAATGGTAGGTTTCTTCTCCTCGATCCAGAATAGTTTCAATTAAATCCATACCATAGTTTCCCACCAAATCCATACCATGGTATTTTGTAATTCCTTTCATATCTTTTGTAATATAGATCTATTGAAGCTACAACCGTAATATTATTTTTTGTTTAACTGTTTTTATTTTAAAGTGTATAGATAATGAATTTCTTGAAGACTGATATTTCAAACAAAAAACACCCATGTTTAAAGAAAATCTTTTTCCTATGAAATAATTCGACATCACATACATAATATAATAGTACTATAAAAAGAAAGTTTATTTATTTTGTTTTCTCTGGCAATCATTTATTTTTGTATCGTAATATGTATTACACAGCATTGAATAGTATTCTGATATATATGCTAAACTGTAGCTAGTACACATACTTATTCAATACATATATTATTTAATTTACTTATATAAACAATTTGATATTTTACCTATATGATTTCTGCATGTATATGACAGGTTATTTCGTTTTAAATTAAACGAATGCATTAAAATGCAAGAAACGAAAAAAACGATATAAGTAGAGAATGGATCTATTTTCAATATTTTCCAAGAAAAAGTATATCCACCAAAGAAAAATTTAAGTCAAAAAATCAATAATATAACAAAAGGAGTAGGAAGGAATCCAATACCAATATTTCTTGAGATATATATATGGTGTTTTTGAAAAGAATACCCGTAAAAGTACTTCCAGGCAAGAAATCTCGAATATCTCAAAATACTTCAATCGTATAGTCACATCCTATTTTATATTTGCAATTATACAAATATGTGATGTCATGTTAAAATATACCCAGAATATAGCTTTCAATCAACAAAGCCCCAAATACCTCAAAATATGTAAATACAAACATACAAATATCAACTATGTATGAAAAATGACACGGTATACTGTAAATTATACTTATATTTAACAAATTAAAGTATATTCATTATTTTCTAATTTGATGCCTAATGCCTAATATGTTTTAATATTTATATCGGTTCGGATGTTATGTTGGTTCAAAGTTAATTTCTTCTCAAAATTTTAGTTTATTTTTCAAAAGCTTACATATTAGAAAGGTTTTCTTCAAGTTTTTCTTTAATTTTCGTATACTGATATCTCAATTTCTTCTGATATACTTAATTATTCTTAATATTGAATATGGATTCTCTTTTCTCATATGATTTTCTTCTTTTATTGGACAAAGAAATTATCTTTTAAAGTTACGGTATTATGAAGCGAAATACCCTGTATATGTTTTTAAGATATTTTTGCAATTTTTGTATATAAGAACATGTGTAATATATATCTTTAGTTTGATTTTGTATATTATTTTTTTGTTTCAACAATTTATTTAAATTCGTTTTCTTAAAACAGCGATCAGCTGTGTGCGTGCTGTTCAGTTACTTTCAAACTGTACGTCAAACACATAACCAATAAAAACAGACATCAGAATAAAAGTACGAAAATAATTAAATATTTTAATTCGTGTAAAATAATATAGATGTGTATAAAATAAGATAGTTGATTACTTAACGCTGTTATTAAATTTAAAAAAATTTTTATATTTGTACTATAATAAGTTTCTACACAATTGCAAGCAATTATTGAAAGTTGCTACTTTAGTATCCCCATTTGCGTTTCTGCTAAGTTTCAGTTCAGTTATACTACACAATGTATGATAAATTGTTGTCTGTCAATAAAGTTTTTATAAGAAATCTGTGAGGCTGATTTTTTGGTCTTGTGAACTTAATTAGTAGAAAAATTTATTTAATTAAAAATGAAATAAAAATGATATTAAAAACGATAAAATGTTAAAATTATTATATAAACTTAACTAGAAGTAGTTTTATTCGCCTCAAAAGTGGACAGTGAAAAGTTGAGGCAGTTTTTTCATCAGCTTTCACTTATTAGTAAAGAAGAACAAGAGCAATTGTCACAACAACAACAAAACACGTTTGTCGGAAAAGATAAAATACAAAAAGAAAACAAAAACAAATAAGTGAACACAAACCAACAACGAAGAGAAATGTTGAAAAGAAATTCACTTGAACAAAGAATATAAATGAAAATCCTAAGTTATTTTAAAATTAGAGAAGAGTCGACCTGCCAAAATTAATGTTTATATTATTTATTTGTTTATTTATAAAATGAATAGACCAAGACCAAATCATATGAGTAATTCATTAATTAAAGCGTATTAAGATCGTAGCCAAAAGCGAGTTGCGAAAAGGGCAGCAGAGATTTTGGTGCTGCAAAATCAATGGGAACTAGACAAAAGCGCATACTTTCCCGACTATGTCTTGAAATTGTGGTACGAAAATAAACAAAATTATTTACATTTAAATGGAGCAAGTAAAGGTCGCTAAATTTTGAAGTTCAACGATTCAGAGAGCATTAATTAAGATTCAAATTAAAGCAATAACACTTAATTAAGTGCCGATGAAAAAAGCAAAAATTTCGCGTTGTGGAAACGTAAATCTTAGACTTTTAATAATCAAGCCAATCTATGAGCACTTAACATACAACCTCTAGAGCAATTCTGTTTTCAAATAAAAAACCAAAAATTAAATAAAAAAAAAAAAATAAACCAAAATGCACAAACACAAAACACAACCGTAAAACGTTGAACTTACTCATGTTAATTAAAAAAAAATTAAAAAAAAAATAAATAAATAAAAATAAAGCCACATACTAATATCTATGTGATACCAAACATATAATGTTGTTAACTTTTAAAAACAACTTAAATAAATTAAATAACGAAACTTTATTATCACTTTCAATTCCAAAAAGTTAACTCCAAAGCAAAACTAATAGTCATAATTTTAAATCTGCTTACTCCACTCCAAAGTTTACAAATCCACATGTCGAAGTGCTGTAAAAAACGTGCAAATATCGGCATTACCAAGTTAGTTGTAGGCTAAATAAAAAAAAAGTTGGTGACAAATAATGGACACAAGCCTAACACAACAAAGAAACCGTTTACAATCTGCACCATCAAGTACGTCAACAGTCATTAGTGTCGGACCGAATACCAATAGTAACTCACAAACCACTGTCATGCCCCAATCTCAATCCCCCCCGCCAGAACGAAATAGTTCGACATCGTCCTTTGTAAATCTACTTGATGGTTTCACAGCGCGTGTGTCTGGTGATCGTAGTCAAAGTGCAGCCAGTACGCCAAGTTCGACAACTTCATCTGGTGGTGCTGGGCCCGTGGTAGCTGGCGGGTCTATAGCAAGTTTAACAAGCATCGGTTCATTAGGTACAACTGCAAATGCGTTTTACTCTTCGATCGGACTAGCGTTCAATTCACTCACATCTCCAATTACAGCAGCAGCAGCAGCTGCAACAGCTAGAACCGCAGAAACTGCTGCAGTAGTTGTGGCCGCTGCATCAGCGCTATCGAATCATTTAAGTTCGCCAACAAGCGGTTCGCCACCCCACATTGATGACCTCGACGACGACGATGAAGACTGTGAAGATGACGATGATGACGACAGGCATGTACCAGCACCCACGCCGAGAAAAACATGGTCTGAGATAAAGGCGACTGTAAATGATATGCGTAAGCAATTGTCACATATGTCAACTATGGTGCCAACAAACATACAGTTTCGCACGCTATCAGATGGTCGTGTGCGCTGTTATTTCTTGAGTACGCCACCAAATGCATGGGAAACTACACTGCTTTATGCCGATATTAATGCAAACTCAAATGACGAACAACTAGCACAAGAATTACAACAAGAAACGACTAGTATACGCACGAGTACTTCGCCACCAACATCTCAGGCATCTTCACCCAACACCAGTAGCTTTCTTGGCAGTTATCAAAGCAAAAGGTACAAATACAATTCAAACACAATTATTTTTGTTTTATATAAATATAACAAACAATTATTTTTTTATTACAGGCTTAACTGGAACATAGTATTACAACAACCAATATCTAGTTTTGCCGCTTCTACGGGAGGCAATGTTAATGCATGGTCTAGAGAATTTCAGTTATTACAAGAACGTAAGAGGCTATCGACTTGGGGCATAACCTCCTACGAACTACATAAACCAAGCGGAATGATAGTGTTTCCATGCTTTAGTGACTTGTACCAGTGCCTTGATACTGGCTATAACGTAAGTTAAATATAAATATAATATGCATTCGCAATAATTATTCCGGATATAACTACTATCAATACAATTTTGCAAATTTATCATATACATTGATTTTTGTTTTGTTTTTAAGAAAGTTTGTTTTGGTTTCTTGTTAAATTTAAATACCTTTCACTCAGTCATTAAAACTTATTAAGCTAGGCTTATCTAGTCAAATCCGAGCATTAAAATTTTTGATGATGATGTCTAATTTATCTTTAGTCAAAATACACAATTGTTACGTATGATCACTTATATCTGAATCATTATCTGCTGTCTAAGCTACATAAATACTATAACATATCTATGCTAAAATATAAGTATATATTAAAATTATACATACATTGTTCTTGTTGCCGTAGCTCGCAGCAGAGAGAGGGTATATTGCAGCAGACAAAATGTTGTATAGACAACATATGTATGGGCTAGAATATGGATTAGGTAGAGGGTAAGTGGAAAGAAGATGGTATGTTTGGGATAAAAAATGGATAAGAAATGTATGAGATATAAAACTAGTTTGGATCGATGCGGAAAACAATCGACTTTCTCTATAATAATTATATTTGGCTTTAGTCGTGACTGGGTTTAGTTTTAAAGCTACTCGTTCAACACAAATGATCATGTGTACTTGAGTATTTTCTTAGTTAGGCTATCAAAACCTGATCATTGGATAGGATTGAAAACTATATTTTGATTTGTATATCTACTTCAAATTAAAATAATGTCATAATGAGCTAAATTCCGATTTCTTAAAGTGTGAAAAAAATCAGAAATCTATTCCTGATCTTATATATATATAAAATTTATATATATATAAATGGCATGTGTTAATATACTATTTATATACAGATTAAATATTATTATTTAAACGAATACTTTGAAATATTTATAGTTTTTGGTTACAAGTAGTTTTATTACAAAACACAAAAAAATTCTTTTATCTTTGATTTTTATACAAAGTTTTTTAAACTGATTTTGTAAAATTCCTTACTTTCTAACTGAATGCTAATTTATATATAAAACTAACTACTTTGATGATAACATTTTTAAGCAAGTCATGTCTGTCATACGTTTATAAGTGTGACAACGCATTTCTGATATCAAAATCAATAACAAACAGAATGATGAGGCTAGGGAATAGTGATAAAAATTTAAGTTTTATTTATGTTTTCATTTTTTTCGTTTAAAATGCAAAAAAATAAGTTTTTTTATTGTGTTAACAGAAAGTAAAAAGATTAAGATAAATTTGTCAAGTTATTAGTACCACAATAGCGACAGTATTGTCGCGCAGTAAAAAAGCGTAACAGGCCTATTACAGTAACATTAACATATTCGGTATTCTCGGAGGAGTGACAAAGAGTGAAGGAGCTGTTACATTGTTTATTGTTACCTAGAAGTACTAAATATCTAAATTACATACATTTTTTTTTTTGAAAGGGCATGAGTTCGACACTTGCACTCTCAAAATATTATTTACGAATAACTAGATATAAGAAAAAATTCCAAGACCACTGATGATGGGTATTTGGCAATACTCGAAATACTGTACGGTCATGTCAGCCAAAAATTCAATTAATTAATAAATAATAAAATTTTGTTGTTGTATTTTACTACTGTTCAAAATATCTCTCTATTGAAAACAATAGTTTATATCAATAATTTAGTTTTTTTCGTCAAAATTTAATATAAAAGTTTTAAAATATAAAGTTTTAAATATATATGTATATAAAGTGACGCTTGTGGCAATTTGTGTATGAAAAAATTTATAAAAAACTGAATTAATATATTTTATATAGCAAAGAGGTTTCAAAAATTAGTGAAATACAACAGCAAGTATTCTTTTAATATTATTTTAATTAATTCCATTTTTGGCTGACCACACAGCTGTTTCTAGTATAATAAATCGAGTATATATCGAGTTTCGAGTATAATATATATGATTAATATATTATACATATAGAATATTATTAATTATATATCAAATCACTTAGAACTTCTCGGTTTTTTCAGAATTTTAACTTATATTACGATCGTTACTTTTAGTATATTCCTATACGTATTTCGGTAAATTCGCTTTTGCCTACATCAGGAGAATTCCTAATATTAAAAACATATATTCTCGCTTTTGCTTTGTATTTCCTTGTTTAAAGATCTAAAGATTTTTTAACGCCAATATCAAATTAAGAAGCAAGAACCAAAATTAAAAAACATATAGTATGAACATACAGCCCAGAACTGGAATAAATTATTTATTTAATTCTAGTGGTGCTTCGACATATTTAGAACTGATTTATTTTATTTATTTAACTTATGGCAACTGCAAATACATATAATTTAAGATATTCTAATAATGTTATGATTGCATATTCGATTTGAAAATCATACAATAAAACTAAAATGTTTAACAGTTATAAACTTCTACAACTGCCAACACACATTCAACCATATATGCTTAAAAAGATATCTATTGTCTCTTGTAAATCAAAAAACACCCAGCATCGTAAAAGTTATGTGCTACAAGATTATTTTTTCAGATATCAGAATAAAAAGTTCAAAATTTATGTATAAAAACCACAAATAAGTAGATGTTCCATCTAGTTTATGAAGTTGTTGTTTATATATAATAGTTGATGTTAGATGACATATGCAGTTTTTTTGTCACTCTAATTAATATAAAAAAAATGCAACTTTAAACCTAATATCTCGAGAAGTAAGTTATATCAGCTTGTATGGTAAAAGAAAAAGCATGTCCAAAATAACAAACTACTAAAATCTTTTAATTTAAAGGAAATATGGACATATTCACTAATAATTTGCCACCAAAAATAAACAGTAGCAAAAAAACCTCGAGAAACTGTAAAAATATTTATTTATTATTATATCATTATATAATAATTCTTAATAATGCAAAATTATACGCATATACTTAAAATCAGAAAGTGTACCTGTACTGCTTTTCACCATTTTTTCTTTAAAATGTATTATTATTATTATTATTTTTATTATTATTATTATTTTTATTATTATTATTATTATTATTATTATTATTATTATTATTATTATTAAATAATAGGTTACAAATGCACCCTGACCTATTGTGCGCCCATGGGTCCAACTAAGACAATTCTAGACTATTTATAAATCTCGTAATTACTGTGGGCCTAATTTTACCTATTTGATTTGGAACTAAGATCCCGCTTCCAAGGTAATCATGTCTAAGTCTTGCCACCTCTGAGCAGTTACATAGAATATCTTCTAATGTTTTCTTCTTCTCATGAAGAGTCGACAGTAATCTACAGTAGTCTACAGTGTCCTGTTAGAAGTTCAGTGTAGAGTTTAATATTGTTTCTGCTAAGGTTAAGGATAGCGTCAACTTTGATGTGTTCAGGATCAATAAATCTTCTTCACTGCCTATTTGGGCTCTCCAGTATTCAAGTAGATTTTGTCTTTTACATAATAAGTTATTTGTGAAGCTCTTTGTTAGCCAGTAGAAAGGCTCTGGACCAATGAAAGGAGTACTTGCACCTTTCTTGCAAAAAATGTTTTAAAATTGTAGTAATATTGTTCTAAAATGCGTAAATTTTGTCATTTGTAACAGAGCAACACAGTTTTGACCAATGTTACGAGAACACCCTTGTGTTCGTCATCGTGACCAAATTTAAATCGAAATTTCTCTCTTTCTCTCATTCTATATTTTTTAATTTACATGGAAAACAACAATTTCAAATTTGTTGTGAATCATGGCTTTCTTTATGACATAGCCCTAAAAGTTTTTTTGGATAGTCTTATTTTTATACCTGCATTCCGGCAAATACTGAAAATGTGTTCTTTCTCTCATATGATTTTAAGTAACTTCTTGCCCTAAGGACACAGTTCCGAATTTTACGAGCTAAAAGAATATATAAAAAACACTGCTAACAAACTCTATTGTAAAATATAATGACTTTCTTTTTTCAGTTAAGTCCCTTATTTCCCACTCAATTACGCACTTGTCCTCAGTGGTCTGCTTTGGATCCTCAAATATGTCCACAAAACTCTGATTTAATTGCCTATATAAGCGGCTGTGATATTTGGGTAACACATACGTTAAGTGGCCATGAAGAACGTTTAACGTTTGCTCACGATGGACGTCGTTCATTCGCTGATGATCCTTTAAGTGCTGGTGTGCCATCATATGTAATGCAAGAAGAATTTAGTCGATATCAAGGGTATTGGTGGCAACCACACTCCGAAGGTAATAAACTGAAATTACATTTGAAAAATATAAAAATTTTAATAATATTTATTTGTTTATTTTAAAGATTGTGTATATCGCATAGTATTTGAAGAAGTAGACGAATCTGACGTTTGCCTATACACATTTCCTTCATCACAAGCAATACCTGGTGAAATGGAAGAGTATCGATTTCCACGCACCGGTACACCTAACGCTAAATCAAAACTTAAAATGGTGCAGTTTACATTAAATGAATCACTACAGATAGCGGATGTTTGTATAAAAGATTTGCCATATACATTATCATTAGTTTTTCCATGGTTAGAATATATTGTGCGTGTTGGCTGGACACCGGATTCAAATTAGTAAGTATTGATCTGTAAATTCATTTGTACATAATTGCGTTAATCAAAGTAAATGTAAAAAATCCTTCATTTACATTCCATAACTTATTTTTTCAGTATTCAAAAAGATTTATTGCAAAATTTTAATAAGAGCTTAAAAATTAGTTCTGTACGCGTCTTCGTTAAGGTACCATCCGAAACTACTTGAGACTCTTCTTAATTCTTCTTAATAAGATTAATTGTCACTCTTCAGTTTTATTTATTTTTTGGTTCCTTAATAGTTTTTTTCTTCTAAATGGAACCAATCGCATTTGTGTTACAATTTTTGTGACATGCATTTGTAGAATGATGTTGTTTACAGGACATGGTATGATGCAATAATCAACATTTTAGTTCCATTGTTTGTTATTAATCGCCATCGCTTCTAATGGCGTAACTACATTTTTTAGGCCCATAAGCAAATTCTAACCAAGAGGCTCCTTATACGCTTTACACGTAAAAGTGTAAAAAGTGTAAAAAGGGTATATTAGGCTTGTTAAGGTTTTCTGTTTCAGTATTTGAACAATCTGTCAATTTATTCTGTGTATCACAATTAGCAAAGGCATCATTTAAATCGTTTACTTCTTCAGTTTTGTTTTCATTTATTTTAAGAAAATTGTCTAGTTTTGGTAATTTCTTTAATGTTTCTTCTCGTTCATTTTGCACTTTTGTTTTCTTGGCTCCACTTAAATGTCATCACAACAAAAAACGTGTCGTTCCACTTTTGAGAATTTATTAAAAATAAATATAATGAATACATGAATTTATAAATGGGCCCCCTAAATGTGGGGTCCCGAAAGCGTTGCTGCCAGTCGCTTGCCACTGATTGCTACATTAACGATTTCATGTAGAATTTTACAGTTCTTCTACTGGAATCTTTATTTATTTTTATTTTGGTAATTTTCTTTTGTTATACTATGCCTTAAGACATCTCAAATAAGTTAATTAAATGCAAATATATGGATCAACTTTATAAAATGAGACAATTGTCATTACTGTTCAATAATTTAACTGGTGGCCTTCTATGAGTCTAATCATTTCTAATATTATAAAGGAAGTTTATCGTAGAGTATTGACAAAATTATAGTAGTGGAATCTAGTCATATTATCAGTTATGACACACTGTTTTTCGAAAATCAGTCGCAGCTTATTTTACTTCCATTCGTAAAACGTATATACAAAATTCATTTTTCAATGCTTTTGCGGTTTCGTTTGTACTAATTTGAGTTATTCTATAGTTGTCTTATTTCGATGCCGTCGCTACAAAAAAAACTTTGTTCCAATTCTTTTTATAAATTTTTTATTATCCTTTGCTATTTACAAATTAACATCATTGCCTTACTTTGGAAGATTCGTAGATACTAATTGACATATGGATGTTATTGTTGTAACTCATGGAGGTTCAAGTTGTAGAATACATGAAACGAATATATGAGTTTGGATGCGATTGGGGAAAGGTAAAGTTGGAAGAAGGGTTGTTTATGTCATGGAATGGATTACTGCATGCTTGGGTCTTTATTAAAACTAACCAGGAATTAGGGCAGTTGAATAGCTGGGCAGAATGATAAGGAGTAGAACTGCAGTTGGGACATATATAGGGAATTCACGTCTATATAAGTGACAAGTGACTTTTTAGAATATAGCTATATCCTCATTCTGCTGTAGTTACTATTCTACGATCAATGTACAATCAGAAATAGAACATCAGAAACATTATATCTAATAATCTGTAAAACCAACTATTTTTCTATAGTAGAAGTTGAGTTCAAGTTAAGGATACATCTTAAATATAATCAGTAATGCTAACAGTTTAGTTTCAAAGACTTACATGGTAATCAATTTTCTAGTTTTTCATAGTAATAATTTTCTGGTATTCGTATTGCCTAAAACAGTAATCCACAATAATATATAAATTACAAGATCGGACGTGAGGACCATAGAAAATCCTTTGTGCTACAAGTGGTTGTAACTGAATATAAGACTTTCAGGCTTTTATATGATAGTAGCTCTCTCTGGCTTCAACAGCATCCACAATATGCTGAGTAAAGCCAGGCAGTTACTAGTCTCAATTCTCAATTCTTTTATTTATGTGACGAGCTTCTATGAGTCGAAACAGCTAAGTAGTACTTAGAAGCAGATTTAGTTGTGGACTAATTATTTTTACGTTCCGGTCTGCGGAGTTATATAGCAGATCTAGTGCATACGAGGTTTACTGCAGAATTCTTGCCATCGGTCCACTACAAAGAAGCACCTCTCGCATTACTTACTGTATATCGTTACACAATAATCTTTCGATATCATATTTGGAATACGATTATTAGCTTAAAATATCTTTATTAAACTTTAATCCAAAATATATTGCATATTTTAATTTTAGTGTTTGGATGCAAGCTATGAATCGAAAACAACAGCATTTGGAATTGATACTTATACCTTTGGATAATTTCTGCGAAACCTACAATAGTTCAGCTTCATCACCATCAGGTTCCGTAGAGCATAGTTGGAAAAGTCAATATTGTCGCGCGATTTCACCACCCCAAGTAACTCATTGCTTTAAAAATTTTACTCTTATCACGCTATTGTCTAATTTAGGTTATATACTCACAATTTTCGGAATCCTGGATAAATGTGCACGATTTACTGTACTTTCTGGAAATCACAGAATCCACCGTAACATTTATATGGGCATCTGAAGAGACCGGCTTTAGACATTTGTATTTGGTAACATCAAGTATAAGTGGGACTATATTAAACGGTTGTAAAGAGACTATAGTTAATGCAAATTTAACAAAAAGAATAGGCCAAAATTCATCTGTAGTAATAGATGCAGTTCCAGATTTCATGGAAGGCGTTACATTACGACCAAGAATTATTAATAAGGTAAATAAAGATTTTTATATTAGTAACGTAAATTTAAAATTTGTTTCAATTTTATTTTTCAGGTTGCGCTTACTTCCGGTGAATGGGAAGTTCTCGGCCGAAATTTATGGGTTGATAACGCGAAACAACTAGTCTATTTTCTTGGCTTAAGAGATACACCACTTGAAAAGCATTTATACGTAGTTAGTTTGCAGAGACCGGAACATATACGTTTATTAACTGAGCCTGGTTACTCATATTTAGTAGAATTTGATGAGGTATGATATTTAACACATTAAATAATTTTAATTCAAGTGTTTATTCATAAATAATTTTATTAAAATACATTTTAATCTATTGACAACGCGGTTCCTCATCGTGCAATATATTTATATATTTCAATGTTCCAATTCTTCAGAACTATATTTTTCCCATTACTATAGCAAACGTTTAGTGGAGTTATTTGTTGCAATAACACCTTAATAACACTTTGAAATATAAGGGGATTAAATGTTATGTTAAACCTAGTTATGTTCTACATTCTTTCTTCTTGTTGTGGTCATTGCTGTTGTAGTTCGATTGGTAGTGCCAGCTGAGAAAGAATGTAGAAAATAACTAGGTTGTCAGTGGTTGTCAGGATATACAAATAACTGGGATGTTGAATCAACACCGTCTGAAACAATACTTACTTTTTTCCGAAGTGATAGTGTGACGTTTTTGCTTAAAAAGAATATATCATAAACTGTACTAAGAATTACCATTGATTTTTAAAATCTGAAATATCTGGAAATGGAAAAGTACAACGTAGACTTAATAAACATGTCGAACTGTCTAATATCTTTTTGGTCTATTTCAGTATTTTTAACAACTTAGTTTTTTGTATACTTACTTGGTAAGGGCTTCGGTTTTACATTTTTAAGGCATCGCTATTTGAAATATTTGCTGCTAGTATAATGAAGCTAGTATGATGTGTCAGATATAGACAGTTGTGGTATCGTATAACGGTAACCATAAACGCAAAGGACGGCACACTCGTGCGGTATGGTACATTGTGATGCACTTAAACTTCTTCAGTTTTTTACACAATGCATTTTATGCAATTTTACAATAACTTTCAGCTTCTCTATGGTTATAACCGCAAAATAAAAAACTAGCTTTCAACTTTACATTAGTCTAACTTTTTCCTTCACTTCTCTCCTGAAATGAAAATGCCGTATTGCATCGTTCAGGCAATTGCGTCTCTTGGAGTATAAAAGTATATCGTTCCGCATTCGGTATGCGGAAGTAGTCCTAGATCGGCCGGGACTACTTATTTGCTGGAAATGCGCACAGCATATATCTGAAGTTGGGTTAACGCCAATGTGCTCAACCGGATACTTTCGGTTGAGATAACGGCATTTTCGTCGTCTCATGGTAAATGTAATATAAACCATAATTACTATTTATTCGTCGATTTACTAAATTTCACACATTTCATGAAAGAAACTTTAAGATATAAAAAAAAAGAAGACATCCATCCCGGATAAGGATATATAGGAATAGATATTTCGTTCTTATCGACAGTTTAATAAACTGTCAAAAAAGTAGTTCTCTAAAAACTTGTTTCTTCTGAAACCTGGACATTTACAGAGAAAATTTATAATTATCCATGCGCAGTATCTCCGCATGGGTTCCTATATACCAGAGACCAGAAACAACTGCAGAAGGTCTTGCAGTATTCACGCGGTACCTTTTAATGGGTTTCCACTATCTCCTCTTGTTATGTAAAGGCTGTCAACCAGGAATATGGCATCAAAACATTTTATAGTTTATTTCGTGTAGATGTTAGAATTATTTCGATACAATTTTACCAGTAATGAAGGGGAAGTGGTTTCACATGACAACTGAAAATTATTTTATGCAAATCTAAAGTAAATAAGATTTAATAGATAAATCTATTTAATAAACAATGTCGAGAATAGATTTAATATTGGGAGCATTATTAGTAATATCCGATATTAAAGAAACTGTATTCTTATGATAAACCCCAAATGCTTCAGTTGATTAAACTTTATTTGAATCTCTGATTGATATATTTCTAGTGACTGCACGTTTTAAGGATTTAGTTGTTTTTAATAGCTTGTGCTTGTGCAACAGTTTGGTTTTTAGAGGACTAAATCTTTCCTTATATTTTTTTTATAGCTCTATTAAGATTTGATTTCGTAACTGGATTTATATGTTTCTGCCACATTCTGCGTATTTTCTTTAATAAGTTTTCTTATTTCAGTAGAGACTGAAAGAGTTTTTCTGATTTCAGATCAATATTATTACTATATGTGGTGTAGGGAGAAAGTTGCTTTAAGTTTAAGGGAACTTACATTTTCGACAACATTATCTTGATTTTAATAAAATATTTGCGTTAATTCCTTGTTTATTCAATATTGAAATGATACTATATTTGTCTTGGGGATGAATATTCTGTATTTCTTACGCACAGAAGAATATACATATGGCATTATAAATAATTATTAAAATAAAATGACCCCGAAAATAGGTGTTGTTTGTACCATTGAAAACTATTTTAATAAACGAAGAGCAGAGGGGCGATTGTCTTGTGAGGGAACTTACTAAATGACAGTACGTGTCTCTGATTGCAGTGTTTTAATTAGTCAGGCTATTCAAATGAGAACATTGATTAAGACGATATCAGCTATTACAAACGTTGCACCAAACATATATGGTGTTTCTGTTAGTTTTAAGATTGTAGATACTGCATTGCTAAGATTGGTTTTGCTTTTCCTGGGAGCAGGCTTTAATTCACATCCATAATAAATAACAACAGAAATTAGTTCAATAAGTTATGTAATATTATTTATATAAAAGTGCTGTCTAATAATTTTAAATGAAACTCATTAGTGGTTTCAAAAACATTTCCCACACTTAACAGTTTTGTCTAAACGGTTCTTGCTTCTTGCTGCACGGGGGGTGACGCCGTTCTTCCTGGGAGATATTAGGCGGACGTCTGTTGAGAACTTTGTGAGTCAACAACTTCGAAGAGGATACTGCATCTGTTTGGAAGGTTATGAGTCCACGTTTTATTCGCCCTCACTGATGTTATCTCCATTGCAATAAGTGTCGAAATATATTGCAATAGGTATCGAAATATGTGCGGTAAGAAGAAAGGGATCGACAAATGGATCTACGAGGGAGGGCTCTCCTGAACATATCACTATTAAAATGGCAACCAGTTGCAATCCGCAAAGCCGTTTTTGACAAGATTGGATGTTAGTACATTGCGGTGTCCATACTGGAACTGCATATGCAATAGAACATCCTAGGCCATTTGTCAAGGTGCTAATAACACTAGTGCGTTGCGGGAGTAAGATGTTTGTGTTGGAATTATGGGTGGAGGTTGGCAACAATTGTCAACAAAATTTGAATTCCAGCCATAATGCGAAGTCACTTGTAGATATAGTTTTAGTTGGTTACTAATTAATGATGTTGGCAGTGGAGTTTACAAACATATAACATATACGGATGTGAACAATTGTAGGTGTATTCCATTTTGTTTTTCTTTTTTTCTATAGTTCACTTTGGTTTGTTGTTATATCCAAACGCTGTACCAAACTTATTAAAATTTGAACTAATTTCTAATATCAAAATTTCTTTACAGTCATGTCAATTTATGCTTCAAGTTTACTGTAATATTCAACGCCTCCCATCATGTAAAGTCATGCGAGTAACGCAGACATGTCAAAATGGCGGTGTTAATGGTATACAAATATCGCTGATGGGTTACTTAAATGAAGGCGGTAAAGCAGAACCACAATATTGTCCACAAATATTTCGGCCGCAATTACCTTCTGGTGAAATTGTATACGCTATGGTGTTCAAACCACACAATTTTCACTTGGGTATAAAATATCCCACTGTGTTAAACGTTTATGGTGGTCCCGAAGTCCAAACAGTAAATAATACATTTAAAGTATGTGTGAAAGTTAATATTTTCTCATTAAAAATTTAAGAAACTTACTGCTCTTATATAGGGTAAACATCAGTTGCGTATGCATATGTTAGCGGCACAAGGATATTGTGTAGTTTGCATAGACTCACGGGGTTCAAGGCATCGTGGGCTTAAGTTCGAGAGTCATTTGCGTTGCCGCATGGGCCAGGTTGAGCTAATAGATCAAGTGGATGCATTACGTATTTTGGCTGATCAATTGGGCTATATTGACATGAATCGTGTGGCTATACATGGATGGTCATATGGTAAATATCAAAACAAATTTTATACCTTTAATTGTATTGTAACCAAATATTTATAATAATTTATTTAGGTGGCTACCTGAGTCTTATGGGCTTGGTGCAGTTTCCAGACATCTTCAAAGTAGCTATAGCCGGTGCTCCTGTTACCAACTGGGAATATTACGATACTGGTTATACGGAGCGGTATATGGACCTACCACAGCATAATAAGCCAGGATATGCTGCTGGTTCAGTGCTTAACTTTATTGACGCTTTTCCTGAGGAGTAAGTTTATAACATTTATAGTTAATTTCATTATAACGTATTAACCTGCTGTTTTGTTTATTAACAGAGATAATCGATTATTACTAATACATGGACTTATTGATGAAAACGTACATTTCTACCACACGTCTCAGCTCATTTCAGCACTCAACAAAGCAAATAAACCTTACGATTTGCATGTGTTTCCCGACGAGAGACACTCATTGCGTAATTTGGAATCGAATAGAAATTATGAAACAAAATTATTATCATTTTTACAAAATTTATGAGTTTCTTCTAACTAGAACTTTAAGACCATTTATATACCCTATATAGATTATTAAGCGCGTATCCGATGTTTATTTGTTTAGTACATAAAATTTACTTGTTTAGAATTTCGAAATTATTTGTTTAGAATTTAAAAATTTTTTGTTTAACATTTATCATTTTTAAAACAATTAAGCATGCATGCTCGCATAACAATTAAGTAAAATTCTGTTTTTAAATCACATTTTATTAAAATAGAAATAACTCTGAATATATTTATAAAATAAAAAATCTAGTGAATTTGTTGTTAACAATTTTTAACTTGTTTCAATTTTGTATATTGTAAAAAAATTATTATTAATTGTATAAGTCAAATTGAACGAATTAAAAAGTAAATATAACAAAAAAATACAATAAATACAAATATTTTATTCAATTTGTGCCCGCTTTTTTATTGTTGAATAAAAAAAATTTAATATATATATATTTTTATATATTTACACAGTTCCCTTCACCTAATATTTGTTGCTATTTTATTATGTTTATATTTGTGTATATTATTTAGTTTCTTATATTCTAAATAAATATTGTTTGTAAATTTTGAAAATATTTTTATATAAAATATTATAAAAAATTCAATGAATTATTTAATAATATTACACAATGTAATTTGCTTTTAACATAGCTTCTGCGATTTTGCAATTTTTTTTTAATACATTTACAATAAAAATTAAGTATTTATATAAAGAAACGTATTTTATATTTAAATAATAATACTAAAACTTCGTACTCTATATAAATGAATATATATATATAAAGTTAATTAGCTTATATGTATAACGATGCAATATTTAACACAATTTTAAAAATCATTAATAGTTGTAATGTATGTATTAAATTATTAAATATAATATGAAAAAAAATGTTGATTATATACAAACAGATTAATAATTTAATATATTTAATAATAAAAATTATTTCAACTAATACTCACCAAATTTTTTAATCCATATTTATTGAAGACTTTTATTACTTTGAAAAATAAAAAATAAAATATACAACAAATACAGCAGAAAGACTAATGTATTTGACGGATGTGAAGGAACATATTGTTCCTGCCAAATAGTTCTGGGAAGTAATTGTGCAGTTTTTGAGAAACAAAATTATTAATATTACATATACATATGTTATAGATAACCATTTCTTACCGATTTAATGACATTTAATTATTCTCCGCTAGTACAATTCTAAAAAAAAAAAAAAAAACTACAATTTTTTTGTTTTTTAAAAAGTAATTATTTTCTCCTGACTTTTTCTATTTACCTTTTTAAATATTAAATACAAAAAAAGCAATTTGTAATTTATGTTTACAGCATTTTATTCATTATTTTAATATAAACATTAGTTTAAACTTTATGGATACCATGTGATTATAAAATTTTAGTTTTTTGTTGATTTTTTAAATTAAAAATTAATACTAATAAACATAAAAACAATATTAATATATAAATATTTTATTTATTAAATTTAATTTATTTAATTTTTTACATTTAATGCTTACAAAATTATTTTACTTATACATTATTAATTATAATTATTTATTAAATATTTACTGTAGTATAATTTTACAAAGCTTAAGTTATGTTTTTTCTTATTAATCATCATTTAAAAATGTTTATATTTTTATAAATTATTTTCTTATGTTTCTTGTTTATAATTTTTATTAAGTTACTGTTATGCTTAAAGGATATAGTTTTCAAATTTGTTTCTATATATTTGAATGGGTGTATATGTGTGTGTTTGTGTGTCTGTGTGAGTTGTTTTAATAACAACTCTTAATGTTTGCTATTATTAATTAGTAATAATAATAATAATTCCATATAATGTTTTTACGTATTTTCTATATTTTTATGTATGTTGCCACTTGAAACTAAATTTATTTTATTTTTTTATTTACATAAAAACAAAGGAACTATATATTTCAGTCTTTTTTGTGTAAAATTAAAAGAAAATAAAAATAATTACCTATTTTTTAAAATTGTTTGTTTGTATTTTAATATAAAAATGAAAATACAAAATTGCTATTACTATTACAGAAATAGATAGGAGTGGGAAAGTGGGGATTCCATTTATTTATGTTTGTTTATATGTATATTGTTTGACTTAAAAAAGTTATTATTGAACAATAGGATTTATAAAAAAAATGTATTACGTATATATTTAAAATCTTACTTTAATTTTATTGAATACTTTATGCATATTTATACAAATATCATATATGCATTTAATGTAGTTTTAAGAGCAAACCAAACATAGTTTATTATATACTATTTATAGCTTGTTATTTTCGATGCATTTTTTTAAATTTATTTTTAATATTTATTTGTATTTTTAATAATTAATAACTTTATTTATTTAATAATTAATTTAATATATTTTTAAGGCTTTAGAAGTAAGCTTCAATATGATAACCTGTTAATAGCGGTAGGGGTGTCAATTGTTTATATATGCATAAAAAATGTTTGCCGATTGCATGATTTTCGGTAGGCTACATGACTAACGAGTGATATTCTGAAAAACCATAATGGTAAATTAAATTCCCTTATATTTTATATATCGCATATACATAAACGAAAATACTCAGTATTTAAATAATAACATTTATATAAGAACGGACAATTTATATAAAAAATTAAAAAAACAAAAAAAACTGTTTTAATAAATAATATATCAAAATCTTAGCTATATGTAATATAAAAACAAATTTAACAAAAATATGAATATTAAACAAATTAAATCAAAATTAAAATAAATAAAAACAAAAATAATGCAAATGTGTAAAATAAAAAATACAAATAAGTTCAATTAAATCAAAAACTTGTATATAAATTAAAATTATAAAAAATAAAATCAAGAAATAATGTGTTATTAAAGGAAATTTTTGAATAATATCAAAATATAAAATAAAGTATTTATTGTAATAGTGATTAGTGTAAAAATCTGTTTGTTTTTAAATATTTTGAATAATAATACAATATAAATACAAGATCTTAAATGATAATATTATGATCTAAACAAAACTCAAACAATAATTTCATTGAAAATCAAAATACATATAATACACAAAAATTTATTACGTATAAAAGAAAAAAAATATTAAAAATAAAAATAAATAAGAATAAATTTGATTAAAACAATTAAACATATGATAAACCACAAATATGCGTGTACACATTTTAATAATAGTGTATAAATAATAGAAAACTCTAAAAAAAAAAAATAATAAAAAAAAACGAAAAGAAAATAACATTTAAATACACAAAATCTTAAATAAAAACAAATTAATTTATAAATAAAAATATAATTTATTAAATGACATTAAAAAAAATCATTAATAGATAATTAAATATAATAAATAAATATAATTAAATATCAAAAAGTATCACTTAATATAATTAAAAATAAGAATAAAAACAAAAAAATACAATAACAAGTTAAAACCTTTACCAAAATTAAAACGAAAAATTGAACACAAAAACAAAAACAAAAAAAAAAAACAAATATAAATAAAAAGACCATAGAGAGAGTAAATAAAAAAAAACAAATTTAAAACATTAATTTTTAGAAAACACATAAATATATAAAAATGGAATTAAAAATAATAAAATTTAAAATAAAAATTTTGTAGCAAATTATTCAAATTTAATTTATAAACATAAAAATAAAAAATGTTTTTAAAAAATAAAATAAAAAAAATGTTTACTTTTGTTAAATATCATGAAAAATTTCATTAAAATAAAAAAAAATAAAAGTAAAATACTAACTCAATAAAAAATAATATAACTAAAACATTTAAATCAAATACAGACATAACAAAAAAATCTTTTTTTTTTAAAAAGAATATATATATAAATAAAAAAATTTAAATAAATAATAAAAAAAATATAAATTAAACATATGACACAAAAAAAATATTCAAGAAGTTCTTAAAGTACTCATAATTTTGAAATTACTCAAAAAGTCAAAAATTAATTGACTTTTGACGTGTTTCAGCGATTTCGGTACTAATTAAAAAATATAAAATACATACTATATTAACCCAAAGATAACCCCTATAACTTGGTCCCAATTACATATCGTAATTGGTTATTTACAAACTTTTCATTCTGAAGCTTTAAATAATAAATAAATTAATTAATAAATGAAAAAGAAATTATTAAATAAAATTCGATATTTTTGTAGCTAAAAAAAATGTATGATAATATATATATGTGTCTGTATATCTATAAATCTGTAAATCTGTAATATTGTTTCCATTAAATTTAATTGTACATTTTGTGTTTCAGTGTAACTGTGTAGTATGGTTTGTATGAGTTTTTGCAGTGTAAATCTTAAAAATATATGGCGTCGGTTTGTTTGTTACGTGGAAAAAGAGAATTTGTATAAATTCGTTTCATCGCTTGTAGCGTACCTTAATATTTCAAATTATCTATTTGGAAAAAAGGTGTATATCTATAGATGTATATTGTGTATATGTTTTTATTTCCTTTTAATTTTTGCTTAAAAAATTAATTACTATTTTGTTTTTGTAACTATTTTTCTTGCATGAGTAACAAAATTTTGTTTGAACTTGTGTAAGTTTTTATATACTCGTTTCTTTTTTTTTAAATAATTAATAATAATCTTTTTAAATAATTGTTTAGCTATTTTAGTTGGTTTTTGTTTATTACAATAATTTATTTATAAATTTAAAATAATTTAAAAGAGAATTTGTACTTCTTGTTTTTATTGTAATAGTTGTGAAAATAATAATTATTATTGCTGCTGTTGGCGTGTTTGGACTTAGCATACTATTTAATGAATTATTTCCGTAAAAATGGAGAGACGATGGATGATGTAGATAGGTTTTATGACTTGAATTAATAATGGTTTGTAGTAAAAAAAGAATTTCAAAAATAAAAACAGAAACGAAACCTTAAAATATTGAAAATCTCCTTCCTATATGGGTTTTTTTGGCCAACTTAAAGTGTATCATATTTATGTTTCATTAAATTAATTATTAAACTCATATATAAACAAAACATAAAAAATTAGTGCTGAATAAAATTTACAAAAAAATATTTAATGAAATTTAGAATATTTCAAATATATTAATAAAAATATTTTTAATTGCACAATAACGTAGAATTTGAAAAAATAATTAAAATTGTTATTTTAATTATTAAATAATGGTTTTACGACCAATATTTAATATATATATTTAATCCTTTAAATATTTGCGGAGGAGCATAGGGCCGCAAATATTCAATATGTTTTTCATTATTATTACTGGGCTTAGGTTGTTAATTTAACACATAAAAATTAAAAAATTTTTTTTTCAATGTACACTGAAGATGATCCACGAAGTAGACCGAAATACAAATAATTTTTTATAAAAATTAAAATACAATTAAATATTTAATACAATTTTATAAGTGAAATTTTTTACTTTAAAAAACATTTTTAATTTTTATGTGTTAAATTCACGATCTAATAATAAAAAAAAAAATAATTATTAAATTATCTATTAAAACTTATCTCAAAGCTTTTTAACGCACTAGTTTTTAACAACACTATTAAAGAGAAATATATGATAATTAAGAATAACGTAAAACAAAAAAAGGACAATAAAACATTATATAAAAAATTAAAAAACTTATAATAAAAAATATAAAAAAATTGGAAATAATGCAATAGAAAATAAAAAATATTAAAAATAAAATAAATAGTTATATTAGGAAATTAAAGCAAAGACTAACATATCTGACTATATACTGCGTTCAAATTAAAAAAACACTACAGAAATGATTTTCTAAAGAACAGTAAAAGAATAAAATATATTATTAGAACAATAGGTGCTTGTAGATCACGGTCAGGTATTATGTATTAAAAACAATTACCCACATACATATATATAAAATATATTTTTAGTATTGTTAGCGCAGATATATAGAAAAAAGACGAGTACATTTATAAAATATTTAATAATAAAAAATAAACAAAACTACATAAATTTGATCAGTTACTAAAAATTTCTGAAGACATAAACTCAGTCTAAATGTCGGATTGACTAAATAGAATATATTAACATAATTAGATTTGGAGTGCTTGCTTGGATAATAAAACTATTAAAATAGTGTTAAAATATCTACAAATTTAACCAATTAGACAGGAGTTTTAATTAGGCTAATCAGATATAAACTGATCGCTTAGACATATAACATTATAGAGACTGATGACGTTGTGGGACCATTTTAAAATAAATATTTAAACAATATTTATAGTATATCATAGCAATATTGACAAATAAAATATTGACAAATATTTGAAAATGTAAAACCCCTTGCTTATTTGTGAATTAACGTAAACACGAAAAATTACGTTAGAATAAAGATTCAATGAAGAATCACTCTCGCCAACAGATGTTCCTATTGACACTTGAGAAATAAAGTCCTGTTCTGACAAACAAATATCACGCTCTACAAGTTTCTTATCATATCTGTCCTGCTATATGATACAAAAGCTTGGACAATAAACAACATTGATGAAACGGTGTTAGTAACAGAAAATTAACGGAAGAAAACATTTTATTCGGTACCAGCTGGTGAAAAAGTAGATAGAGGATGTCCGCCTATTCAGTGCAAGGAACAGGTGGTCAACAATATAAAGGTACTTAGTACAACCAACTGGTATTTGTCATCTAATTCAACAGTCGTGGTAGGGTCTACCAACCCTCATTTCATTTCACAACTATTTTAATATAAAGTCCATCATATTTTCTTTATATTTCGACATTGGTAGCATCTTCTTGACAAATACCTCCATTTCAGTTTTTGGACTACTGCAGTAAAAGTAAGTAAGTCTACAAACCAATATTAATTCAGTTTAAATGTGAGTGTTACTATTTTATGCTTAATATACAAATAAAAATTATAATTAAAATAATAAAATATTAATATTATTTTGGTAATGCATGTATGTATATATATGCATAAACATGTGTGAGTTTTTTTTTACATTATGCTTCCTTTTAAGTGAATGAGTAAAAACTTGCCTTTGAAAAAATTTCAAAAATGTTAATTTTTTACATTGTTGACGTGCGTTATATATACATATGTACGTACATATACATATATTTATATTTAGAGTATTTTAATATTGTTTTGTTTAAAATAATGAACTAAAATTTCAAATATACATATTAATAAATTTATAAAAAAAAAAATTAAGAAAATTTTCATTCATTATTTTTATACAAATAAACAAATGAGTTTTTGTGTGAAATTATAAACATGTTCAGTATATATTCTTATTATTATTAATTTGTTATATTATGAATTAAAAGGAGCGTTATAGGTCAAATGGTGCAAATGCAAACATAAATATTTGCAATATTTTTTTTTCGCTTTGCCATTTGTATGCTTTTATGTACATGTTTTAATATAATTTAATTTTTTTTTTGTATATACAATATGTATATATTATATAGTTCATTTGCTTCTGTTGCTGTTATGTTCTGTTATGTTCCAAAATTCCAATTTAGCATATAGCATTTAATTTTTAGTTAAATAATTTTTTATTTTGATTTATTTTAAATATTATTTTTTTTTGTGTTATCATTTTGTCGAAATTTGATTGCTTACAAAAATTTATTTTTATTATTTAATATTTATAAGTTTTCACAGTTTTTACAACATATGTAATTTAGTTTTATTTTTTTTTTTGGAAATTATTTTCTTTTATTAATGAATTTTAAACGTATTTTATGAAAAAATATATAATAAAATTTGGAAAAAATAGAATTAATTAAATTTTATAATTTTTAACGTTTACATATTATTTAATTATGCCAAATTTTTTTGTATTTTATATTTCAGTATAGTAGAAAATTTATTTAGTTGAATGATTTTTAAGTTAAAAATAACAATAAATTTTCTTTTTTCTTTTTTTTTCCCAAAAATAATTTCAACTTAATATCTTAATATTATTAAAAGCTTAAAAATGCAAAAAATATTTTTAAGTTAATATTAAATATTATTTACAATTTTTTAAAAATTTTATTAATCTAATTTCTTCGATTTTTTTATTTATGTTTTTATGTTTTATGTTTTATGTTTTTTCTTAAATTATTTATTTTTGTTTTTTAATATCATGCAAGCTTAATATATTTAGTTTTAGTGCTGAAAGCAATGAATTTAATTAATATAAAATTTTAATAATGACGCATTTCGGTATAAAATTGAAATATCAGTTTAGTTACTTTTAGTCAATATATTTTGCTAGTATTCAGTTATATTGTATATATAAATATATGTCTATATATTTGCTTTATAGTTAAATAACTATGTCAAAAAATGCGCACAATTTACTTAACAAGTTTGTGTCTTGAGTCTTTTGTTTTACTAAGAATATATGTAATTTCTTTTTTAAACTGCATTTAAGTAGATTTATCTAGGCTAAATATAGTTTATTAAGTTATAGTTACTTTAGTTTGCACTTTGCTATATACTTAAAATTTACTGTAGCAAAGTTAGGCATTTTCGATTTATAATACAATAATATTGCGCGTCAAGAATTTTGCATTGTATTCAGGATTTTTTAATTTTGTAATACATTTTCATTAAGCATTTTTGATTAGACTTTATACAAAACATTTAAATAATTAAATATAATAATATTAACATTTAATTTTCATTTTCCAATATATAAAATATAATAATTAAAAATCCTAAAATTTAGTTTGAGTTTATTAAGTAATATTTTACATTAATTATACAAAATATGTACGTCAGTTCAAAAGTAAATTACATGCATAATTTACTTACCGTACTTGCTTATCCTTGACGTACGCGTACCTTCAGAAGGCTTAGCTTAGTTTTGTCCCACTGAGTCATTACGCATCACGTCCAATAAAACCATTCGGGGGCGGTGGTTGTTGTTGTTGTGTTTGTTGTTGCCTTAACCATTTTTCCTTAATTGAATAATTGGCTGATGGTGCAGCAGATGCTGTAGACACGAGCGGCATTGTTGTGGCGGTTGAAGGCTGTTCTTCAAATTTGCTGCGACTCTGCGAACGGCTTCGACTACTGCGTTTCGATGTTGGCATACGTTCACTACTGCGCTTACGATTCAGTGGCATGCGTTCCATTTTAATATTCTCCGTATGCGGCTCGTCATCACTACTAGCTGATGACGTGTCTGAATTGTAGAATCTTTCACGACTTTGCTCTCGGCGCAGTGCTGCAGATAGTGATGTAAATGGTTGCGTACTAAACCCTCCTGTGCTGCTGGATTGTGTTGTTGTTGGTGGTGCTGGGCCCATTAATTGATAATTAGGATTAACGCTTACATGCGTAAAAGGCGTGGGCAGTGCAGTTCGTGGTGGTTCTACCATCATTATATAATTGGGATGACTAATAGGTGGTATATCAGTACCAGTTGCTGGCAGATGTGAGTAATTTGGATTTTCACTAATTGATGGCGCTGTTGATGTGGTAGTTAGCGACTTTGATGGCGATGCTGTTGTATCTAGTGATTCATTCAGTGGTTGATGTTTGTAGTTAGGATTTTCGCTAGATGATACCGTCGTTTTAGCGGGTGTGAAAAAGCGTGGAGTTGCAGTGTAGCTGCCTGCGCTACCACTGCCACCACTTTCAATTGTGCTTAAATTTTTACTACCTGTTAGATTGGTATTACTATTAGAAGTAGTGTTTGGATTTGAACTTGTGCTTTTGTGACTAGTATTACTACCAGAACGTTTGTGATTGAAGAATCTTCGATGAAACGGCGCTGGCATTAGAGATTTACCAACATTTTGTACTGTATCAGCAACGGCGCGCTTCAAACTGGTCGGTTGACCTTTACTACTTGCTGGTATAGCCGTTGAAGCAGTGGTGGACTCTGCGGAAGCAGTCGATGGATGTAAGGAAGAAGACATTGGTGTACTAGTAGTAACTTCATCTGGCATTGAGCTAGACATTGGCATAATTGTTGGCACACGTTGTCGCTGTCTGTTCCAAGGTAATAAACTAATTCGTCCGCTTCCACCAGCGCTGCTACCAAATTTACCACTACGACTTGTTGTTTGTTGATCAAAATCTTCTTCTTCATCGGCAGCATCGTAAGGAGCATGTTCACGATAGTTTGGACTAGGGTCATACACTTCATACCCACGTTCGTCAGTTTCTGCACTTTTTCCCGCAATTACTGGTACTTCCGGACGATGTTGACCATCATGTTCATCCATGTTATAATCAGGTAGCACATAAGCAGCTGCTTCAGTTTCATTTTGGTAGTTTTTGGGTAAACTGGGATTAGAAACTGGAAAACGACTACGTAATGGTTGATGAAGTTGACGCTGATGTGGATGTGTATGAGGATGTGTTTGGGGTTGTAAGTGTGCACTGCCGCTACTAAAAATACCAGCTGATGTTGATGGCTCTGAATCGAGTGGAGGATTTTGAAATTGATAACTACTTTTTGATTGGCCATCAGGTGTACTGCTAGTAATCCCATAGTTGCCCAAACTAAACGCGTCAAATAAAATAAATTAAAATTCAATTTTATTTTAATTAACTACTGACAATTTTGCTGTGTACATATATACTAACTTATTTTATATAAATAATTAAAAATATTATGAATTTTAAAATACTTTAAATTTATTATATGGATATTTAACAATTATTACTAATAATAATTAATTGTTAATTAATATAAATATAAATATATGATATCATATATATATCATATATATATATGATATATAAATACCATATATATTACCATATATAAATATAACACAAAATACCATATATTAATTTCAAAAAAAAATTTATTTATTTATTAATAATTTTATTTTTATAAAAATAACTATATTTTTATATTAATAATTTTATTTTTATATTACTAGATCCTTCTTAATCGTGATATATTTTGGTGTCTCATTTGCAACAGCTAAGCTGGTAACTAAACTACAATACGTAAGTATAACTTAAAAAAAGCGTGGGCAGCTGAAACTTTCTGTCACAGCTCCAGATCTACATGGTCCAAAGTGGACAAGAAACATACCAGTTAGCTGCTTTAACTAAAACGGAACCTACTTAGTCTTACGGGATTGGTGCTGAGAACTCACTGCGTATTAGAAAGAAATATTATGAGACTAGACCCAGATTGGGTTAATAACTTTTATCGTGGTTTGTTGCTCTAAAGAAATTAAGAAATCCATGTTACCATATTTTTGTCAATGCCCAACTTTGGTTAAAATCTTTGATACCCCTTTTATAATCGGCATGACGAAGCTGTCATCTAATTAAAACAGGGATTTAATCAAGTTTATAGATTTATCAGGTTGGTTGGTTTTGACTTAAATAGAGAATTATGTTTCTCAGCGTTGTTTATACACTGACCAGTTGGTGTACATATGAACAACGGACTATTATGTGGGTTCAAATGGACTTTGGTGTACAAGGCCGCCACGCCAACGTAACCTAGTCATTGTATTTGCTGAAGTAATCCGGTTGTGTAGTCCCTTTGGAGGGTGTTGAAAGGCGGTTGGTCGTCGAGGCCAACGAGTGACATCGGGATGTAGACCCGGTAGTTTTTGTAACGCAATCTAGTCGTGATGTAAGAAGGTATTTTTGAATTTGATAATTAATTAATAAAACAGGAAATAATTTTTATTTTTAAGCTAAATTAAAAATCACAACAAAACTATTTACAAAAAACTCCTATTGCACAACGATTAATATTAAATTGGTAACTACTATTATTGTTCCTGTGAAATGAATTCTATTTTACAACAACAAATAGAAAAACAATAAAATATATCCAATTAAAATATTTAATTTTAAAAAGTATTAGTTAAATTGAATTTTTAAAAATGTACCAATATATAAAAAAATGAAATGAAATATTTTTTAATTATTAAGTAATTTTTGGGCACCAACAAAACTGTTCCGAATTATATTTAAAATCAATTTATAAATATATAACATATATTATCTTATAAAATAGAATTTATGAAAATGTTAACATTTTATTGGAAACTAATAAGGAAATGTGTTGAAATTTGTTCTGTTGATAGCCGAAAAATTACCTAAAAATTGAGAGCAGATTTTCTTGTATATTTTGCTTAAGTTGTAAGCTTTTAGTTAATAATTTAGCCTTTTCTCACCTATATGGCGAGTTGGGTTTCTCATCATTCACTGGACTATTGTTGTTATCAATAACACGTGCAAGATCACTGGGTTTTTCTGCAAAAGAAGTCAAATAGTATAAAATATTTCTTTCAATATTTCTTTAAATTTAACAAACCTGCTTCTTCCTTAATACGAATTTGTTCCCCTTCTTCCGAATGATAAAATGATACATCACGAAATGTTGGATCGGCGAAATCAGACAAATCTTTTATTATGTCCATAAATGAAGGGCGTGCTGTATCACGATAACGCCAACACTTTTGCATTAAATCATATAGTATATTGGTACAATTTTCAGGACGTTCCATAACAACACCATCAATAACATGACGTAAAACTTGATCGTTTGACAAACCCTAAAGTAAAGAAAGAAATATTAATTAGAAATTCTCTTAATATTATAAGGCTATAATTGCTAAAATACCTGATATGGCTGTGAAGCCAATGTAGCCATTTCCCATAATACAACTCCATAACTGAAGACGTCACTGGCACTTGAATACATACCGTCGCGTAAACTTTCAGGTGCCATCCAACGCACAGGCAAAAGTCCTAGAATAATTAATGACAAAGATAAAAAATTACATTTTGTGAAGAAGAAGCTTGTATTATAAAATAATTGAATCCTTTTTTACAAATTAAATTTTCATGTCTTGAAGTATTACACTTGCCTTTTGTGCCTTTACGGTAATAATCGGTTTCATAAATGTCTCGCGTCATACCGAAATCACCAATTTTTACTGTTAAGTCAATTGCAACCATACAGTTACGGGCAGCTAAGTCGCGATGTACAAATTTTTTTCCAGCAAGATAAGCCATACCGTCAGCTATTTCAATAGCCATCTGCAGAAACGCACATAAATTTGGATTTTATAAAATATTTTAAAATAATTAAAATGTATGTCCAACTATATACCTGATAGAGACGACTTAATGGTGGTGGTTGTACAGGTCCACTTGCTAGTCTAGTCCTTATTCGTGCTTCACCCTCTCCTTTGCTACCATCATCACCGCTATCGGGACGATGCGCTCTTAAATACGATTTCAAGTCACCATTTTTCATAAGTTCCATTATAACTAATGCCGGTTGACCACGTGAACAAACACCCAACAAACGCACCACATGATAGGTATCGAATTTCTTCATAACACTCGCTTCATTAAGGAAATTCATGCGTTCCCTATCCGTAGCATTTTCGTTAACAGTTTTTATAGCACAAGGTGTATCCACGCTGTTTTCATCTTTGGCTTTAAGCACACCTTCGTAAACCATACCAAATGAACCTTGTCCTAGTGGACTTAGTTGTAGAACACGATCACGTTCAACTTCCCACTCATCAGGAATGTATTGTAGACTTATATAGTACGGATTGACGTTAGGGTATATCTTAAGATCAGATGGCTTAGTACGTAATTTTTTGCATACATAATGTGTAGCAGCAAGCAATGCGAAGAGTATTATTACAGCTATTACACAAGCAATAGTAATGGCAGTTGTAGACCATTGAGTGGACTAGGGTAAAAAATTTTAGTTTTTAATTATATGAATATTAAATATTTCTATATTATATTATATATACTTACGGGAACGAGAACATATTTTGCTGGCGAGTCTACGCCTTCGCCTGCTAATGAATTAGCTCTTACTTTAATACTATAATTGCCAGTAGATAGGCTAGTTAACAAATAACCATTGGTCATATTGCGATAGTCTAGTTCTGTTATGCATTTCTTCTCGTCAACCGCATCCAATACATCGAGTTGATATATAATTGTATAGGAGACGATAGCACCATTTGGTTGTGTAGGCGGATCCCAACGCAAACGAATATTGTAGCGAGTTGTATTTGTTGGTTCCAATTTAGCATCAAAATTTTCAACTTTATCAACGTTATCTGTTATAATTTAAAAAAAATATAATAAATGATCAATAGTCGAAGTAGTGCCAAAAAGCGTTTAGTATTGTATAATTTGGGTATATAATAGTTTTCGTGGAGAGAGTGTTTAGAGTATAATTAGAGTATAGAAAATTCTATACATAATAAATTTTAAAAAAAAGAAAATAAATTACGATAATCCGAAACACAATAGACAACTGATGTTCCTAGAATGTACTTTTTATTATTGCATGAATCGAAAAGCATTTTTTTGTGGTTGTGACCTGCGGGGAGCTGCTAGTATTATTTCTGTTAAGAACGGTAAACAATATTTAAATTTTTGGATGGAAGAGTGGCTCTGGGGCATAGATTCTGCCGCTCTTTGAATTGCAATATTATTTGTGTAGTACTCGTTTAAGAAGGATCAGTTTAATTTTAAGCCATTAACATTTCTTTACGAATATTAACATAAAAAAGTTTATAAAGACTTCTCCAGTTTCTTATATAAGGGACGATAATATAAGGCACGAATAGTGCTTTTTGAATTTGATCAATCCATCGGAGTCACTGTACCTCTGCACTTCTATATGAAAGTGTTTTATAAAGAATATGACCACAAAGTGCATCTTTGGCTTTAATATTTTATATTTATATTTATTAAACACTATATTTTTTGTTGCAACCGATATTCAATTCAAAGCAGTTTTAGTCACTTACCTAATCTCAAAGTACGAACATCCGTATGCAACATTATACTACAATCTTTCTCATCTGCACCTAGTTCAGGTTCTCTGCACGCTTGTACACCCAATTCATACACGAAAAAATGTTTAAGATTTTTGAATGTATATTCGGTGGTGCTATCGTTCACCTCTTGTACTATTACTTCGTAATATGTGTTTGTATTATCCATGCGTGTTTCATTATGCGTTGATTCATATATTGTACCGCTATCCAAGGGTGGAAGTAATGTTGAAATACTGAGCATGTTAAAATCATTTTCACTACGTCGATGGCGTTGCACAATACCTTTTACCAAGTTTGAATCACTGCTTTCTGACTTTGAGCTAGTACTATTGCTTTGCCTAAATCCACAGATAATTATTATATTAACTTATAATTTATTTTGTAAGTTTTTTTCTTACTTTACGTAAACAAAATTTTGTATTGTGTTTTCGAATTCAATGCCTTCGTGTATGGTTTCTTCTGATATTTCTACAGTTTCCCCTTTTGCATCGCATTTACAATCTGAACGTCCTATCGGATTTTCAGTAATTGTTTGTGGATAAACAATACCTTCAGGTTTAATTTCATCTTCCTTGCCCCGATATATATAAGCTGAAAAATGGTCATAAAATCACAATGAATCGAATAGTTCTACAATAATAATAGGTTTGCATCAACTTACGATCTTTGCAATAGTTTCTTGAGCCCAAGTTTATGCGAGCTTTATCAAGTTTGGCGCGTATTATATACTTCGTAAGTTTGCCATGAGCTCTTGCCGGTGGGCGCCATTTCAGTATCTAATTAATATAATTTAAAATGCATTTTAATATATATAATCATTATTTATATTAATGTCGATACTTACAATTTCATTACTAGACTTAGGTATAGCTGTTATTTTTCGTACTGGTGTCGGTTGTGCTGATTTAGTTGTGATATGTTGTATGGGACTTTGTGCATTTCGACGTTCCGATGATATGGTCATTGTTTTGACATAGAAAGCATATTGAGTAAAGGGCTTCAGTTCACTGAAAATATATCTTGTTTGTTTGGTAGGCTCACTCACTGTCCAACTGTAATTATAATAGAAATTATATATAGTAAATGTATTTAATTTGAATTTGAATAGTGTACGATAAGCTGCTTACCCATCATCACATACACGATGCCCATATTTAGTAACATTTTTATATTTATCTTCAATGAAATAATATTGATAACCAATGAAAGTGCGTTCATCATCAAATTTAATTGCGTCTATTCCAATACCAAACCAAGTAGACGCTACTTTAAAAACTGTTGCATTTAAAAAAGTAGTATTACCTGCACAAGAAACGAAAACACACATTATTATTAATGTAATTATTAATTATTTTAGTATTTTTTAGTGCTTTAATTTAATTTGTCACTCACATGACCCCTTAGAACCATTTGAATCCGTTGCCACTTCATTCTTATCAAATGTAGCATTATTCTTTAACATTGGGCGCAGCATATCGATTTCATCATAACAAAGTTTTGGGTTAAAATGAAAGAAAACACGTCCATTGTCTATATATACTGTTTTATTGGGTCCCCAGATAGTTTCCAAATCGGAATTCTCTAATACATACAGTGCAAATCTGAAATAGAAAATTAATGTTTTCTTTATTTCCATATCAACAAATTTTAAAATAAGTAAAAAGGTAGGTACTGACTTATCTTCCAGGAGTTTAGTGCCTCTAATTCTTTTTAAGTTCTTGAAGAATTTCAATGAGAACATACCGAATGTGCCTTGCACCTTCAAGTAATAATCAATTTCTTCTATCGACGATAAACCAAATTCCAAATCTTCCATTAAGTAACCTAAAAGCATACAAACTCGTTTAAAACTTAAAAATATTTACCACAACTCTATTCAACTTACGTCCACCCCTTTTTATACTTATTGTCAAACCTTCTGAGGTTATATGTGTGCAACCATGCATTTCTTTGGCACGTGCTACGCTATCAATTAAGCCACCGCCACACTTCTTCACACATTTGTCACCGCAAACTTTACATGTTCCATTAACCTTGACATACCGATCTGGACAGCGTGTCGTACAAGTGCCATTATATGGTACCAATGTCTCCTGTTTGTTATTTTCAAACTTTGTACCTATATGGGAACATGACTCCGCTGTGAGACATCTTCGATCTAAATACTAAAGTAAATAAAATATATTATTTATTAAAGAAAAACTGTTTTTAAAAACGTTGTATATATAAATATATTAATTAAATTATATATTAATTAAATATTTAATTCAATTATAGATTTGTGTTCCCAGTGGGTCAGATCACGGTATTTATAACAATTCTTTTCTAATTGTAATTTAGCATTAGTCAACAGTCAAAAATTATTCCATGAGAACTCATATCTAAACTCGTTACATTTTTGGCTTTTTTTTTTAGGATTCACTATAATTTATACTTACACTGTAGTAATTTTTAGGACACCGATCTGTGCAAGTATTGTTGTAAATTGAATATTCACGGCAAGCTAGGCAGACATTTAAATCATTAGCTGCACAACCGCCTAGACAGGCTTTATTGCAGCACGTCTTCTCATCCCGACAATTATTTGGGCATTCAGCTGGACAAACTATAGAAATAGAGAAAAAATTAACATCACTGGCTTAGTATATATTTACATATGTGGTACATATATCTAACTATAGTTGTGTGGTATATCTAACGGTCTTTAATTGACAGCCCTAGATAGTTAACAGTCTTAGCTGTTAATATTGTACTTACTTTTTTGACAAGCTTTATTATTCCAACAATGTCGTCGTCCATTATGTTCCTTGCAAATCAAATCCTTGCTACCACTTTCTTGATTATTTCTTATATCACCGGGGCATTGCGGACATTCATCTTTATTGTGGTTAGTCTTAAAATATAATTACAAATATAATATAGTAGTTTAGCGAGGAATTAACTAAAATATGTTTAGTATTGTATAATAATTCGAGTAATTAAAAATTTAAATCTAAACATAATCTAATATTTAAGTATTTATTATATTTACAGCAATTCCATAAAAATTAATTATTGTAAAAATCGTAAAACACACTTGATATGAACTGAAAAAACGGCGTACTGTAAACTAACTAAATGACAAGTAATGTCATTTACATGTAACGCTCAAATTCCATGTAAGTAAAGGAAACAGAGTTGCCAACTTAGCAACAAGAAGAATTTCAGCAATTTTTTTAAGTGGGCTTTTATATTTGACAAACCGAGGGGTATCTCTTCTTCTTCTTCTTTGTCCTTGGCCGCGTCGCTTTCTCCGCTAAGGGAATATATAAGAAAACAATTTTCTTAACAGTGCTTTTGCGGAACGTATAATAAGATTTAGTATTAAATTATATTACTAAAGGAGTGGTTTATCTCCTAATCCTCTCTGAATACAGCACCGTAGCATTCATTTTAATAATGATTTTGTAGAAAAGCGTATTTTATCTACCCAAAACCATCACGTCATAAAGATAGTTTAGCAACCTTAGTAATATACTAACGTATAGTAAAATTATTATTATTTACGTGGTTAAGCTCATAAAAGTTTAACAAAAGACAGACTTCATACAATAATCTATTCAAAGAATATAATTTCAGAAAGTTTCGAAGAGTAATGAAAAAGCAACAACTACAAAAATTTGATTAATTTATTGAAATTTTTGAGTTGGTGGTTCGTTATTATTGTCCAAACCCTTCTAGCTTTCTTTTCATTATAATAAGCGTCACATTTGACAAAAAAAAGCTACCTTTATAATATATTTCAGTTTTTGATTATAAACCAATTTTATAAAACAATTGTAAAACAAATATTTTCAAATATAAATATATTGCACTGGTATAAAAATATAGGACTATATGTATAACTAATAATATTGGTGTCTTACCTTTATACTTATTTCAGTTGAATTGGTAAGAATCAGTGACCAATCGATTGTCTCAACAAAACATAATCTGACGTTATTTTCTATGCGTACACCACCACGTGATATAGTCGTCAATTTCGAAAGCCCTAAGTCCTCAAGATGCGGATTTGAATACACAACTAGTGCATAGGCACCATCAAATAATTCTCGACCTCGTATAATACTTAAATTCGGAAATATTTGAGATAATGAACGTAAATTGTGTATACGATAAACAATTATGAATTCAGTAACTTCGGTTAAAAGTGGATATGTTTCTGTGAATTCCTCTTGTGATTTTGGAAGAACTAATGTCATAAGCAGGAAACCTTCAATAACAGTGCAATTTTCCAATTGTCGAAATTCACTGGGTGAATTGCGTAGATCCAATGATTTGCAAACTACAAAAAAAAAAAAACACAATATTTATAAATTATTTATGTCATCAAATAAATATAGATAATTGTATTAATATTATAAGATTATAGTATATTAATCTAGCTTTAAACTACAATTGTCGATTAATCCTTAAAATTAGCACTTTGTAAGTAGTAAAATATATATTTCCACTAAATTATTTGGCAAGGTTGTTTGAATATTAATGCAAACTGCAATCTGTTGAAATTTGTGTCTTGAAAATAAAAATAAGCGTTCTATTTGTTTATTTTGCTTAAAGAATTTATTGTCTTCCTTAGGCAAATAATCTTCAAACGAAAGACGAATAAGCAAATTCTAATAGATACTCACTTCATCACTTCATTTAGTTTACGTAGAAAACAACAAATTTTCTCTTCCTTATTTAATGGATTCACTGCAGCAAAGATCTTGCGATCGATTGACGACCACAAAAGTGGATCTGTTCGAATTTGAGAATAAGCACTTGTAATTGCAATGCCATTGCCCAAGTGCAACAAAGTATCGCAAAATTATTTAAATGTAAACAAATATTGAAAATTGAAAACATAAATTTTCTAAATATATATAATTTTTGTTAAATATATCTGTGCACTTAACATACATAAAGTCAGGTACATATCTTAGTGGAGGACGTGCGCGATTTATTTTTGAAATTATTTTAGACGGAAATATATTTTTACAATAATCACTTATTCGTATATACAATTTCATCCTTCAGAAATTTTATATTATAAAATTAATATTTTACGTCATCTTTTACGCATGTATTTCCCTGAAAGCTTTTCATTTTATCGTAATAAATTATTTTTTTTTACATAACATATAGTACGCAGTGGTTATTATTCGAAAGGTTATATTGGACCGTGTTTCTTTGCAGATTTCAACACATATAGGTATAGAATAGCACAAAACTATAAGGAATATAATTACAACAACAGTAGGAATATGTTTTAATTGTCAGTGAACTCCAATATCACTAATATCTGTTAAAAGAAAATGCGACTAAACCCCAAAAATAACAAATATAATTAGTTAATTCAATTGTGTATAGCTGTGGTTTATGCTTTCGTTCGAATATATTACAGCAAGTGAATTTTGTTCAACTTTAAGAAAAAATTGAGAAAACGTGAAGTTGGATTAGTTGCTTAAGAAACATGACTTTAGGTTTTAACTTTGGGTGCAAATTGAACACAATGCTTAAAAATTTATTTAACAACAATTACATCCAAGAAGTTAAACATTACTGATAATGGATATTTATTTGCCTGTACTCAAAACAGCTGTACAGTACACAGTCAGTTAAAACTTCAATTAATTAATAAACTAGATTTTGTTTTTACTTATTAATATTAAAAAAAAACTTTTTATTTAGTGGCAATTTATTATTATAAGTTCTTTAGAATTTTTATTTACATTATATACCAATCTATAAAAAATTGTAAGTATTATTAACAATAATAATACTAAGAACAGGAAACTAATATATAACCAAATGATTCGTCCGTCACTTCTATATGGTTGTGTAGCGTTTAGTAAAGTTTAAAAAACTCCAATTCACTAGAAATTGCACAAAGCCAGGCTCTGAGAAGACTTTTCAAAGTTTCATGGTATATTAGGACGAATGACATCCTCAGGGACATCAAGTTTGATCCCATTATTTGCGAAATATGACAGACTTATCAACACCGCGTTATCCAATCTCAGAATAGTTAAAGACTCCTCGGGGAGGTACGCAGATCTGAGGTCAATTATTGCTTAGTCTGATGAAGTTGTAAACAATAATCTAGTCAAGACGCAAAGAGGGGTTTTGAAGAAACCTCGCAGTTAATAGAGAGCAAAAGTGCTCAGGTGCACTAACTCAACTAGCCTCAACATAATAATGGTTACAATAATACAATAACAATAATTATGTATACATTGACGTTTCTATACACAGCATGACACTCAAAGAAATATAATAATTGAATTAACTAAATTAATTTTATTCTTTTATTCTTGATTCTTAAAAACAATAGCGATAAATTGAAAACTAAAATTGTCTCAATAAATAAATTAAATAAAAGCTTTAATTAAAAGTATTGTGATTTTTATTATCATCATTGATACTATAACTGGTGTCTGGTATTGATCTCATTTAACAAGTCTACCCACTAAATCCAACTTAGCATGTCTATCTTCCGATACTGTTTATCTAAATCATCCTTTGACAACCTTGCAGCTGTTTATCAAAAAATAAACTACATGTCCCGCTTACCGAAATCCAACGATCTAAGTAGATCTCTGTAACTACCTATGTTTCGAGATGGAACGCATACAGTTTGTGATTGTAGAGTTTCAGACATCACCTTTCCTTACGTATAGGGTCAACAATTTTGCGCAGAATATTAGTCTCCAACACCGCTACGAGATAATAGTGCTTTTTACTAAGGAACCAATTTACGAAGCCACATGTGAATGCCAGTAGGATCATTGTCTTACACAGCAGAGCAGCAGACTGTATGTTATGGTAAGGTTTATGAAGCCTCACCAGACAGTAGTTTGATGTTTTAAATTATAACAGCTTCATTTATAAAAATCACCAAAATTAATTTGTTAAAATGGTGTCCAAAGAATTGAACTTGATTAGGAAGTCAAAAATTAACAAATTATTATAAAAATTAATAAAATTAGTTTGTTAAAATGGTGTCCAAAAGTTTAAATTTGATCAAGAAGTTAAGAGTTAGCAGATTATTAACTATTTTTAAAATTTTATTGAAAAAAGGTCATATCCTGTTTTAATTAAATTTTATTAGAAAATAATACTCGTAAATCTTATACTGCCTGAGAATTTTATGATACCTTTCACTGATTTCATAAAATATATACGATAATAAAATATTCTACAATGGATTATCATAGCTTAGGCGAAAATATCGGTATGTTTTCATTCCGATGGTTAAACTATGAAGTCTATTGTGCTGAGTGTTTTAACTATACAATTTTATGAACCAACAAAATTATCATTCGAAAGGTGTTTCTTGAATCAATGAAATTCCCGAAATATCAAATAAAAAATTTTCATTCATCGTTTGAAGTACGCAATATAATGGTAGTAATAAAATCAGCATATACGAGTACTCGTCGTCACTCATACACGGAACGTGAACAAAAAACTTCATCCAATTTAAATTATTTACCAATCAATTATGTTCCACACCTAAGCTACCCATTGGCACCAAATCCAACAAGCAGCAGCAAAGCCGCGATAACAATTACCAGTCACAGAGCAAAGAATAATAATAGCAATAAAAACACAACAACAACAATAAGACAACAATAAAAAGTTAAATCAAATTTTGCTGATTATTTTGAGAAATTGTTGCTTTTTGGTTTCGTTTCGTCCAAAAGTCCAACGAAACAAAGACGGCTAAGACGAAGACAAAGACGAAGGCGAAGAGTTGAGTTTTTATGATTTAATTCAAATTTTTTTCCAATAATTTATTTTGGGTTTGTTTTCCAAAGAATTACAAATTTACGACATGTGTTTTTAAATGCGAAACATTTACAACGTGATTTGAAAGCATATTGAGCGTAATTCGTAATTCTTCCACGGCCTCACGGCTTTACGATTTTACGGCCCCACTTCTCTAGACTAGATAATAATGAAGCACAGTCCGCAATAAAAGCCGAAAAGAACAGCAGCAACAACACAGAACAGAACAGAACAGACCAGACCAGACCAGCCAATACTGAAATTCATAATGTATGCGAAAGTCGTCAGGCGACGAAGACGAACTCTGCATAAGTACGAGACGAGAACACTCGCTTTTTATAGTCTGTTGTTGTTGTTGTTGTTGTTGTAGATATGCCTCCCCGCCTTATGTTGAAGACCAAATAATTTGTGAAGCATATCTCAACTTGGATAAGTGGCAAACGGAGGTGCTAAATTGCTATATTGTAAAAATTCATATACGAAACATTTAACGAAAATTTAGCAAATGACTCATTCATAAAAAAGAAACATAAATAAATTAATACAATATACATCTATATCTAAATATATATATATTTAATATAAAATATACTCTTTCGTATATTTTTACACACTTTTCTTTTTTTTTTTTTTTAAATTTAAATTCTAAGTAATGTGCACACGGGTATGAAATTAATTGTTCTCATGTATATAAATATATATTGTTTTATGTATAAAAATATCATTTATATGCACATAAATATACATAACTGCTGCTATTTACATATTTGCCTGTGGATATTTACGTGCCCACTGTGTGTACTTAAAAAACGAAATGCCTTAAAATATTGTAATTTACTCGCAAAATTTTGGATTACTCAACCGTGAGGAATTGGCGTATCCTAGCGAAAAATCTTACTTTATTTTCGGCATTTTAATAAAATTAAAGTAACAAGTAACCAATTTGTGATTTTCACACTTGGATTTTATAAAGAGCTGGATTTTTTATTAAGTAGGATTAGCTTTGAAAAAATTTCTTAATATTGTTAAAAATAATTATTAACACTTCTAAGAGTATAGATGGCAAACTGACGAGTATCATTTATCTGTTATGATAAATGAAATGAAAATGAAATAGATGAAAATTCTGTTCACCTTTAAAAACTTTTAGGTGATATATAAAGTATCTGCTGTTTTTTCTGTTTAGATTGCTGAACAAAACTTTTCTGTATTCATAATTATTTTTAATAATGTTTAAATTAATCAATAATATTTGTGAATTTTCGCCATTTTTCGGGCTGCTACATAATTCCATCCGTGTGGAATTTCTGTACCTTACCGGCGAAAAACTACGCCAAGTCATTAAGAAAGTTTTGCATAGACCGAAACAAATAGTAGTCAGACAATATAAGGTTCGCGGTTTAGCAATCTACTTATTTTCAGACATTAAGAAAGTTTTGTGGTGTAAGGTTCACACTATATAGTGAATGTATCAAAACTTCACAACCAACTTCGTTAATTTGTCTCGAGTCATCAAATATGTGTGTGACCTGGCATTGCCATGATAAAACACATCTTATTTTCTGTTGGTCAATTATGATCACTTTTCTTTGATGGTTTTGTTCAAGCGTGTCATAAAATATGTGTGTGACCTGACATTGCCATGATGGAACACATCTCATTTTCTGTTGGTCAATTCTGGTTGCTTTTCTTTGATTGTTTGGTTCAATCGGTTCAGTAGAACACCAGTTAGATGTGAACAGTAGAGAACCGATTTAACACTATTGCACCTGGCTAGATTAGGTCATATTAGACAATTCCCTGCAAATATCATCAAACATTTAAAATAAACTTATTAGTCGTTAAAGTTGCTCGTGGAATATCATAATATCATTGGCATTTGACTATGATTACATATATTAGATATATTCGTATTTAAATCATTTCTATCATGAAATGAAATCGTCCATTATGATTCGCTTTAAAAATGGTTCGACTTTGTAGCGTTTCACTGATTGTAATTCGATTATTGAAATGGATTCACGTGGTACCCAAGCTTATAGCATCTTTGCGTGGTCTACTCATTTAAATGATTTAAAACTGTCATGTTGTTCATGCTTAGTGCCTCCGTTGTCTCCTTACAGCATGTGTGCAGAATTTTTCCGTGTTTTTTAGTGATTGGCTGACCAGAGTGAGGTCCATCTTTGCATTGGAATTTTCGGAATGGAATTGAGTAAACCATACTCGGGTCACTCACAGTTTTTTCACCATAAACTGTACAGAATTTTTCGTAATTTCATCTTTTTTATAGTAATAACGTATCACATAACGCATTATTTCAGATATTTTATTGATTTTTAAATCCCACAAAATATTTTTACAAAAATTGTAGTCTAAAATGTCACCTTTCAAAACACATGTTCGTTTGACATAATTAGTTCAGTGTAGCCTATATATATATATATGAATACCAACACTGTCTAGTGACAAAAAAGCGCGGATACTTTTTATTATTATCTAATATCTATTATCTATTATCTAATATTATTATTATCTCACACAAGGTAAAATACCTTATCAAACAGTGTAAATCGTAATTTTACTATAAATTGTTTATTAAATTATATGATAAATGTATAAAAAAAGTACTTCAACTAAATAATTATCAGAATTTTGAATAATTCAAACCAATTAAAATATTTTTATTATTTTCTGCTTAAATGCAGTACTTACAAATATTATGAGTAATAAATTTTTTTGTTTATTTTTGAGAACAAATGCTACGCACATCCATTGAGACCTTCAGTTGATATGTAAGTTTGATTTAAACTCCACGTATATTTAAATGAATCAAAAAAAAAATAAAAAAATTATGATATTACTCTGAAAAATATTACATAAATATACTCATAAGTCAGTAGCTACAGTAAAGGCCAACAGAACTGCTGTGAATGACATTCATAACGGAAATTCCATAAATTCCAAAGCAATGACAAAATAATTACAAGTTTTTTTTTTTTAATTTTTTTAAATGAAAGTATGATAAATACAAAGCAAACCGAACCGAGCCAAACCAATTTCAAATTAAAACAACTCATGGGTCTTGTCTTTGAGTGTCTGTCTGTCTGTCTGGGTACTTATCTATTGGCCGGGCTGCATGCATATACTTTGTCATTACATTTTATGGCTAAATGCAAACATTGTGTAAACGTGAAAGGAAAGACGCATTATTCAAATTAAAAACTAAAACAACAAAAAAAAAACAAAAAACAAAAGAAATAAAACAAGAAAATTGTTGAAAAAAATTCAAATTCAAAAACAAAAAGTATCTTTGCATGTTAAGTGAATTTGTATTTGTTTTATGCACTAAAAAGCTACTGACGAGATGTTCTAAACTTTCATTGCATCATCAAAAGTACAGGGCAGCATCATGATTGAGTGCACAAAGCACATTGCAAATAGCGAGTAGTACATATACTCGTACGTCTGGTAACTGCTAGAGCAAATAATTTCATTAGTGGTATTTGAATTCGAAATTGAAAAAAAATCGCTACTCTACCAGCTAACAGAACACGAAGCGACATAATCTCGTCTACATTCCAAATCAAACACGTTTGATGTTTCTAAGTACATTTCAGATATTTGCACTTTACAATTTTCCTTAAATTATTTTTCATTATTCATTATTCCAATAATTAGATATTTTTCTAAATCTATATTTACGAACATTAAATTTTTAATAACTTTTAATTTGTTGTTTCATTTTATTACAAACATAATACCATGTAACTTTGTATTTGTATTATTTATAACATGCAACAGTTAACCATAATTTTGTAGCATGCTATAAAAACAATTAATGTTCTTGTTTGCTTAACACTCTATGAGAATAAGTGTATATGGGGCATGATTAATTCATGCAAACAATTTAATGGTCAACAACATTACTTTTGAGTGCGCAATTTTATTACTCATACGTTAGGTAAGCCGAATATTTTTTCAACATTTACTATGCTATGTTTATTCTAATAACTTTTTTTATTGCAATATTATATATATAATATTTTGAAAATAAATTAAGTTTTATGCCAAATTTCCTTAATTTCGAAATTGTTCATACTGCCCCAAGTTAAGAAAATTATATGTTTTTTGTTTACAAATCGAATGTTAAAAATTACATGTTCCAAAAACCATTATTATCTAAGAAATTTTAAAAGTTGAATACTATAACTATTAAGGATGGCATTCAGTAGTTTTATTAGCTTTCGTGTATTTCAGGTATGTGATTTATTTTTTTTTTCAATCTATTTTAAATTAATTACAGTTACAGTTCTATCTCTGTATTCAAATTTAAAAATATAAACCACTTTCAAAATATTTCCTAGTTTTATTAAAAACAACTCTCATTGACATTTATTTAAAAAAATGTCACTATTTCGTTATCTCAACTTTATCTTTTCCTTAAAATTAATCTTACCCATTTTCCTTCATTTCGTTCTAAGCTCAAAACTAAATTTTGTGTGGAAAAAACAACTTAATTTCACTAAAACGAAGATGAAATTAAGATCTTTGCGAAATTAAGGTGCGTCTGAACAAAAATTATAATATTTCAGTAAAAATGATAAAAGTTTAAGTTAGCTTATTAGCAAATAGAGAGTTTTTGGTCAGAGTCTAAAAAACCACTTTTCATCCAAAAACAAAATTAAAGCTAGTCTTAATTATAGTATATGTTAATTTATATACAGTAGATTTTCCTTAGGAATCTTTGAACTCAATTTCACTCTATGCGAACAAAACCTGGATTATGCATGCTGACAAAATCGCTAATTCTGTTGTAAACAATTTACAACTTCATATTGATAAGATAATGAGATACTTCCGAAATTGGAAAATTAGAGCAAACGCTGAAAAAACGAAAGCTATGTTCATTACAAGACGTAGAAATTCAAATCCAACAAAAATAAAAGTCAATAATGAGGAAATAGAATGAGTAGATAATCTAAAATACTGAGGTCTAACTTTTGAAAAAATAAAAGACACTATAAGGGTCAAAAAAATTGGCTTGAAATATAATTCAGAATATTCTGAAACCACTAATACATACAAGGTAAGTCAATTATAAAAAGTAAAGTTCTGCTTTATAAGTAGCAGAAGTAGTTAGACTTAAACTACTTTATGCCTGTGCTTCATATGGCAGTACCGCGCCATCCACCATTAGAGCTCTTTAATCTTATCAAAATATGGTATTGAGTCGTACGCTAACGGCTTCATGTTATATCAGAAATGAAGATATACATAAAGACTTGAGAGTCGATAGTGGGCAAAAGGACATCAAAGACAGAGCGCTGAAATGAAAATGGTCGAAAGAAAATAAAAAATATAAGGCTATTTTTTATTTATACTTTTAATGCTGCTTTCATTAATATCTGTGTGTAAAGTTCAATATTCTAGAGCTGCTGTTAAGTTCTCTATTATATACAATATTATAATAAGTTTTGCGCTGAGATGATATCGGAACCGATGAAGTTCTACTGAGGTGCGACTATTGCTAGTTGTAAACTTTAACTAATCTAATATAATAAATATTATAACTAATTACTATACATAAAATACAGAATTGCTTTAAACAAATAACTTGATTTAGTATTTACTGCAAATTTATTTACAAATTCATTTTGTTGTCTCATATATCGAAAAGTCCATTAAAAAAAAATAAAACCACAAAATATCTGAACAAAACTAACAGCTTCAAGCCACAAACAAACAACTGAGCTGCCAGTTGATGTAAACACAAAGCACTCGCAACATTGTTGCATGTGAAAAAGTTCATTATCGGCCTGGATATGCAAAGTGCAGGTTACTTAGTTTACAAATATTAAGCAGAAGTCGATGTGTATTTGCACTTATTCAAGTTTTAATGACTTTGCCGCAAAGTATTAAAGTAACTGCAACAATGACTCAACAAAATTCGAAACTCAAATCTTCAAGCGAACAATACAGGAAGAAATGAAGGCAACCAACAGCCAACAGCTAGCAAGTTCAAGTAGTTAAAAAAAGATATATACAAAAAAAAAAAAATTAAGTGAGAAATTCCTGTAGAGATATGCTTGAATAAAATATAGTATAAGAAACATATGATATGTATGTTATGTACATATATATTATTGTATATACAAGAATACATATAAAAATAAAAGACTTTCGGCTGTTGCACGTATCGAATGTCATTTGACAAGGCGAGACATAAGTAAAGATTTATGTGGACGATACATTTATAAAACAAAAATATATAAAATAATAATAAATAAAATAATAAAAATAAAACAAAAAAAATAAATGAAGTTGTTATAACGCTGCTTCCTCGTAATGTGCACGAATCTTTTACTTTATACATATCTTTACACTGTGTGTGCAATGAGCCAGCAAAAATATACCAAGTCAGATATTTGTTTATACTCATTCGTATATAGTAAAAAATAATAATATAAATAATAAAAAAAATAAACCAACGAAACGTATAATACAACGAAACCTATATATAAATATATGCATAACATATTTACGCATTTGTATACTTAACGCATTTGTAGTTTGTAGTTCGTTTTGTGCATTTATCTGGCGGTATTGCTATCAATTCTACAACAACAACAACAACGAGTACAATAAAATGACAACAACAAAATCACAATGGCAAACAAATGCATAAACAAATGATATTGCAATTTTCAAGAACGTTGCCACTTTGCAACATTGTTGCACACCTAAGGTAAACAACAATAATACTCGTACACAGAAATAACAATAACAATAACACTAACAATACTGGCGACTGAGCAAGCGAGTGAGTGAGTGTGCTTACACACTCACTCGCTTGTAAACTTGTAAACACACCGCAAAGCAAGTGTTTATCATGCGCCTTGAATGACGTTAACAATGAAAGCAATAATAATGATGATGATATGCTTGATGAAGATACAAGCTTCAGCTCCATATTGTTGATAATTTACTCAGCCCAACTAAACTGAACTCAGTGGAATTCGATTCATATGCGATATGCGGCGTTTTTATAGACAATTTTCTGAATGACACGCAATTGTTTATTTGTTTTATAAATATTTCATTGTTGTTGTTTGTGCATGAGTTTTTATTTGTTTGAATTTTGATTTGATTTCAATTTTGATTTTGATACAGAATGCAATTTAAGAGTGGCGTCAATTGTATACGACAGATCAGTGTGGGAATCTTCATATGTCTAAGTCGCTTATAATACTTATCCTGCTATATACTATACTGAAGCTGTGTCAATGATCAGCAGTGGTGGGTGAGCATAAGTGTAACAGAGAAAATTGTTTCATAAAATTTATGCTGTGATCCTTTGGGCATATGTGAATGTAAATAACTTCTAAACGTAATATATTAAAGCATTTGACGTATGTTACAAAGTATAGGTAACATGTAAAACTACGACTTGTATATGGCAGATATGCATTAATTTTTAATTATATAATTTTCAGTAGTTAAATTTATTAAAACCTTAAAATCAACCTGCGACGTTAATTGATCTAGTATGCATAGCTCTGATCCTTAAGCCCATAGACATATGTAGACATTTTATAAAAACAATTATCATTATACTTATTATTATTATTATTAAAGGTCAGAAAAAACGCATTGCCTTGACCCTAAACTTTGTAGGTTTAGATTTTTTTATAAACGTCTAGCATAGTTTGAGGTTTGCTGTTCCATAATTTATATGTAAGCGAAACAATATCAGCAAAGTGGTGAAACCTTTCTCTGGAAAGAGCTGGATATTCACAAAAAATGTGCTCTGAGTTTTCAAAAACTATTTCATAAAAACGGCACACATTAGCGTTGGGGAGGCCTAAACCTGTTTAAGAGATACCACAGAATGGAGTGATCTATAAAGTAACCAAAGAAAGTTCTTAAGCTTGTTTTTGCTTAAGTTTATACTAATTATAATTAGTATCAAAACCAATTTTTTAATTGTTAATAAATTAAAGGTTATTGGTCAAAAGTAACGACATTTTTTGGTCCACACGAAGAACACTAATGATGTGTATTTGGCAATATTTAAAACAGCTGTATGGACAGCTACAATTTTAATTAATTAGAAAATAAAAATTTTATTATAATAATTTATTAAAATAATTTTTATTATAATAATTTTATTACAAACTATTCTATTAAAAACATATTATCTATTAAGAAAATTTGTTTGTTTTCCTCAAAGCTTTTGTTAGACTGCTATGACACGCCGCAGCAGCTGGCAAGCAAAAACAAAGTGTTGCTTTACTGGGTGTCTGGTCACACGGGAATCAAGGAGTCTGTGGACAGTCTTGCGAGGTGGATTCATTTGGTCTATAACTAGGTCTTTGATTGATAAATGGTTTTTAGTCGAGCGAAGAAACGTCCAGTTAAAGAGCTGGTTCGTCCATACAGTTATTGTAAGGTATCCTTCTTCAGCAGAACAGAGTTGAGCTTGCTGGTGAGATATTTAACGGGCCACCTTAGACTGCGTTATGACCTTAAGAAAATGGGTCCGTCGGAAGAGATAGATTATCGACTTTGCTTAGAACCAGACGAGACTTCCAGTCACATTCTCTGTGACTGTCCAGCCTTGATCTAGAGCAAGAGGAGGTCACTGGGTCGAAAACTACTCTTCCCTTCTGGCTTTCATTCGGAAGGCGCAATGTCTTCTGTTCGGTTAGGGTCTGTTGCAGCACAAAATATCAGCCATTGCCGCAGTGCTCCGCTCTGTTGGGTGCTGGTACCCTGTTTATTTCTAACTCTAATTCTAAATAATATAAATAATTTTCCTTAATGTAATTACTTTTTAGGTGTCCATTAAGACAAGCACATGCTAGAATATCCATAATAAATAAAAAATATGTTTTTTATTTGCAAAAAGCAAATAAAATGTATATAAATAAGTTTACTTAACGTGATCATAACTAACAAATTGAAACTTTAACAATTCCCATATACATCCACTTGAAGATATAATAATAAAGTCATAATTAAAATGTCTGTTTCAATTTGCAATGGAACAAGAACAAAAACAAGAACAAATTGCAGTAATTAATTTGTTATTCTCGTAAATATTAAAATGCAATAAAATTCTTGAGTTAACGCTTTTCACACAAAAATAACCCATTTTTATGTCAAACAAGCGCGACGGTAAATTTAGATTCACTGCTGACAATGCTGACAATGCTGACACAGCTGACTTCTACCCACCGACTCTCTTATTTGCCAGCCACAGGAATTACCGCATTTTGAATGTACATTAAAATGTCATAGAGTCTGACATTTCGTCAGAGTGTGTGGCACTAAATACATTCTGACACATATTCTGCATTATTGCTGTTAGTGGAAACTTAACACACTCGCGCGTTGCCGGTTGCTATTTTACATGAAGCGTTTTTTGCACGTCATTACTTGTTGTTGGTCGATTGTTTTTCGTTCTCTCGTTTTTAATTTATTATTTTTGCCAAATTATACGCTTGAGTGATATAATTTTTATCTTTGCTGCAGCCGTGAGGGAATAGTACAGGCCGCACCGTAATTTGCATGTGTTGAGCGCTTATTTAAGCCACACGAACGCGACGCTATTGTCAAAACAAACGTCAGTGTTACTTGAGAATTGTTGCGAGTGTCGAGTGTCGAGTGTCGAGTGGCGAGTTGCGAGTTCCGAGTTATGACGTGTTGTGCTATGACGAAAACTTAAATTGTTGGGCGTGTTTCATTGCCTTAAAAAAATGTGCACAATGTACAGGGAAATATAATTTAAAAGTATAGAAAAAGAATGGTTGGATCATTGGCTGAATAATATGTCTATGGTAGAGTCATAGCGAGACTATCAAATTTTAAGGCGAATTATTATTTAGTCACCTTGCAAAGATATTACATATAGCATTCCAAAATATTTTTAAGAAATTCTGGAAGAAACTGGAAGAAAAGTATAAGTATATAGGTTAACTAAAAGAATTATTTCTTTTATCGCAAACGAAAAATTTGTCAACTGTTTTTCGTTTGCAGAACACGTTTACATGAACTGAAGTCTTATAACAACAATCAATGAAAAAGTTGGCGAAACTGGTGACATGGTTTCCTGATAACATTTTGCAAATGATTCGTTTTCTTGGACGCCCTCTCTTCTGCTGGTTCCTATTTCATTCTCATAAATCTTAAGCGGTAATTATATAAATCTTAACCGACGCACTTAAATTATGTTAATCTATTGTTTTATAATGGATGAGTCTCAAATATACTCCCTCCCTTAATAGAAAAATAGAATTGGTAGAAACCTAACAGGCTCAATATTTCTTACTATGCACGGTACTAGAGCACAATAAAAATTATCTGAATTCTTTCTTCCTTCTTTTTATACTATTAAAAAACAAAGGTCGGGGTGCATTCATAGCCTATTATTTAATAATAATTAAAAAATAATTCTTAAGATTCGTATAGTAAATGTTGATAATAAAAATTGTACTCAATTTTCAATTTTATTTATTTATTTGTTTTTGAGTTAACACTAAAATTAATTTTTAAGTTAACTAAGAATAAGACACTAAACTACTAGGTCCTTCGCTGCTCCAATTCGTC